TATAAATGCTGATATTTCTTAAAAACAATTCTGCAAATATAGTAAAATTTTAATTATAGAATTTAGATGGTGGGTCTTAGGGTGTTTATATACTGTTTTTCAACTTTTCTATACTTTTGAAATTTCTTATTTTATAATACTGAAAAAGTGCTTCCAAAAACAACTTATGTGGTTTTCTTAAAATTTAGGTTAGATTTTGGTATACTTTATAGACTCTCTAGATAGAGTTGCAGATATGGAATTCCTGAGTCAAGAATAATTTTAGACTGCTCTTTTATTAAACACACTGCCAAATTGATTTCCATAAGTGTTTTACTAATTTACCTTCCCACCAGCAACATACGACTGTCAGTTTCATAGCCTTTATATTATTATATATATATATATATAATTTTTTGTAATGTTCATATTGATTTTTTAGAGAGGAAGGGAGATGGAGAGAGAGAGACATTGATGTGAGATGTGAGAGAGATACATTGGTTGGCTGCCTCTTGGCATGCGCACCACCAGGGATTGAGCCCGCAACCAGGGCATTTGCCCTGCCTGGGAATTGAACTGGGATCTCTCAGTCCATGGGATGACGCTCAATCCACTGAGCCACTCTGGCTGGGCAACATTATTGCACATTAACATCAGTGTAATATATATTAATTGGATCTAAATCCTTAATTTCAGATGTGCATTTCTAGTTAGGTTACTTATGTTTCTTGTTGTTTATTTGATTCTTCATGAAGTATCTTGTGTTTATTTAGCTACTAGCATCTCAGTGGTAATCTAATCTGATAAAATGGGTGAGAAAGTTCCTCTTGGAGAAAAAGTAGATGACTAACAATGGCAAATTTGAAAAACAGGAAAGGTATAAGCTCTACCAAAAGTTAAACATGATATAAGGCTTTAGTAACAGATTGATGGACTAAGTAGTTGAGAATGAGAAGTTTTTGAGCATTTGGAAAAGGTCAAATTCAACAGAAATCACAAATTATAAAGAAGAAGGTTGTTGAATTCATAAATTTTCTTTACATCATTGAACATACTATACTGTCAGTGAGTTGCAGTTAAGTAGTAAAAATAAAACAAACAGCCCGGCTGGTGTGGCTCAGTTGATTGGACTCTTGTCCCACACACTGAAAGGTCTTTGTGCGATTCTGTCAGGGCACATATCCAGGTGGTTGTTCAGTCTCCAGCTGGGGCATGTACAGGAGGCAGCCAATCAATGTTTCTCTCCCTATCTCTTCCTCTGAAATCAATAAACATATCCTCGGGTGAGGATTAAAAAATTATATATATATATAAAATAAAATGAACAGGCCTGGCCAGTGTGGCTCAGTGGTTGAGCGTTGAACCATGTACCAAGAGGTCACTGGTTTGATTCCCCGTCAGGGCACATGCCCAGGTTGTGAGCCAAATTATCAGTCCAGGGTATGGAGGAGGTGGCCAATCACTGTTCTCTCTCATTGATGTTTCTCTCTCTTCCTCTCCCTAAAATCAATAAAGAAAAAATAAATAAAGTAAATGAATATTTCTAAATAGATAAGGAATTTTGTAAGTTTAGAGATTGCAAATACTATTGAGGACAATATAATATGCCACGTAAAGATTAACTTTTATAATTAAATAGAAACTCATAACTGAAATTAAAAATATAAATAGCAGACATTGAAGCAAAATATTAGAAAAAATTTTAATATCTTAGTTGACATTTGAACAATCTTTAAAGAAAGCCTTGTTTATCTTTTTTTTTCCTGCAGAAATCACTGAATACTTAACCTTTCAACTTACCTGACACTACTAGAAATAGACTTGGCTGTACTCTTCTTTGTGCATGCATATGTCATTTTTCTCCCTAGGTTTTGCTGATTTCAAAAATGAAGTTCCAAAAACTTTATTTAAACATGAAAATATTTTAAAATTCTTCCCTTGAAGGTATCAGCATGAAAGCATGTAGAACTAAGAGTAATCCACTTATGAAAACTAGCATATTGGCAGTTAAAATTTTTTTTAAAGCTAGGAGAGGTTATAAGTGTCAAACCAGGATGGCTTACTGTTGTCTGATAAAGCAATTGTGTAATTTGCTACTGATGTGTTTGTTATAAGGGAGACATGAAGATTACTGGATAAATGGTAAATGATGTTCATTTGGTTTCCTACAGAGAATCCTGAGAATATTAACCTTACGAACTCTGTTCCTCATATTGGTTAGAGTTTCTTTTGGTACATTTTATAGAAGAGTTTCATAAAACTAATTTAAATTTACTTTTAAAAAATGTCTTTAAAATTTTTTTTTTTTTTGCCCCGGCTGGTGTGACTCAGCAGTTGGAGCTTCAGCCCAAGGACCAATGAATCATGGGTTCCATTCTGGTCAAGGCCACGTACTTGGTTGTGGTTCGTCCCCAGCCGTGATCGGGTCATTGTGAGGCAACTAGTCGATGTGGCGCACTCTCTCTCTCTGTCTCTCTCTCTCTTTTCCTCCCTCCCTCCCACTCTATCTAATGATAAGTAGAAAAATATCCTCAGGTGAGGAATAAAATAAATAAATAAATAAATACATATATTTTGTAATTGATTTTTTTTTTTTTTTTTAGACAAAGAGAGAACATTGATCGGCTGCCTCTTGCATGCCTCCTACTGGGGATTGAGCCCACAACCCCGGGCATGTGTCCTGACCAGGAATTGAATCGGAACCTTTCTCTCCATGAGGTGATGCTCAATCCACTGAGCCACACCAGCTGAGCTAAAAAAATGACTTTTTATTAAAGAATTATGTGGATATATAAGTCATAAAGTCATTGATTTATTAGAAAGTGAACTCAACTTATATAATTACCACCTGGGTCACCAGCTTCTTTTCAGATGTTACCATTTCCTTGTTCCCCAAATGCAGCTACTATCTGACTTCTGTTATTGCAGATTAGTTTTCTCTGTTACTGGTTTTTTTTTTCTTCTTTAAAAATAAACTTTGTTGAGGTATAGTTTTCACAGAATTTTCATTTTATGAATGCACATATACGCATATTACACATGGATACATTTGAACAACCACTATAATCAAGAGAGAGATTATTTCCATCACCCCACATGCTTTTTTACAATATATTTACTCCCTTCCCCCCATCTCTGGCCCCAGGCAACTACTGATAGGTTTTCTGTCACTGTATAGATCCATTTTGCCTATTTTAGAATTTTTCTTTTTTTATTCCTCACCTGAGGATACTTTTCTATTTATCATCTGATAGAGAAGGAGGAAGGGAGGGAGGGAGGGAGGGAGGGAGGGAGGGAGAGAGAGAGAGAGAGAGAGAGAGAGATATTGACATGATAGAGCCACATTGACTGGTTGTCTCCTGCACAACCTGACGAAGGCTGGGGATGAACTGCAACCAAAATAGGTGCTCTTGATTGAAATGGAACCTGAGACTCATTGGTCTGTAGGCCTATGCTCTTCTGCTAAGCCAAACCAGCCAGGGCATGTTTTAGAATTTCTTATAAATGGAATCACAAAGTAGGTAGCCTTTTGTGTCTGGCTGCTTTTGCTTGGTACGTGTTTTTTGAGATTCATGTTATTGCATGTATCAGTTGTTCATGTCTTCTATAAAATAATACTGAATGTATTCCATTGTAAGTACAGTCCACGCTTTGTTTATCAATTCACGTGTTTGGGTTACTTCCTGTTTTTTGCCATTATGAATAAAGCTGCTATGCTTGTGGAAGTCTTTCCTATGGGCTTACAGTTTCATTTCTCTTTTAATTAAATTCTTGGGAGTACAATTGCTGGGTCATTTGGTAAATTTTAGAAGAAACTGCCAAACTGGTTTCCATAATGGTTGGAACATTTTACATTCTCACTAGGACTGTATGAGAGTCCTGCCCTGGCTGGTTTGGCTCAGCAGTTAGAGTGTCGGCCTGAGGTCCAGAGACACCTGGATTCGGTTCCTGCTAAGGGCATGTACCTCGGTTGCAGTTTGTCCCTGGCCCTGGATGGGTCGTGCAGGTGGCAACCACTCGATGTGTCCCTTTCACGTCAATGTTTCTCTCTCTCTCTCCCTCTCTCTCCTTCCCACTCTAGCTGAACAAAAAATGGAAGGATGTCCTTGGGTGAGGATAATTAAAAAAAAAAAAGGTCCTAATTGTTTCATACACTCACCAACACTTTAATTTTTATTTTAACGTTTTAGTGGTATCCACATCACACTGTGGGTTTAAGTTGTACTTTTGATAACTCTGGTAAAAATTAGGCTATTAAATATATTTTTGTAAGTATCAGTAGAAAATATGGTGCAAAATTTGCTAAGGAAAGTCTCTTACTGGCACAGTGAATGAGGTGGTCTGAATTTTAGCATCCATTTTGCCCTTTCTTTTTTGTAGCTTGAGAATATCCTCTGAGTAGTAGCATATGCTATTAACTTCTGGCAAGGAGTATAGGGCCAGCATTGAGGCCATCATACTATTCTAGATGGGGTACTTTTATTGGGCCAGTAGTCAGATTTTTCTCCTTAGGACTTGAAATAGGTCATTGTTTCTCCAAGTGAGTATCAGATGAAGTAGTTGGCTAAACACACACATACACACGGAGAGAATGTATTTTTAAGGGTCTTTTTGTGTGAAAAAGTAGTTTCTTTATGCGTATGTTTTCATTGATTTTAGAGAGAGGAAGGGAGATGGAGAGAGAAGGAAACATCAGTGTGAGAGAGAAACATCAGTTGGCTGCTCCTATATGCCCCCTACTGGAGATTGAGCCTGAAACCCTGGCATGTGCCTAGACTAGGAATCGAACCAATGACCTCCTGGTGCATGGGGTGATGCCCAACCAACTGAGCCACGATGGCCAGGGCTGAAAAAGTAATTTTTTAAAGAAAATTAGTATCATACTCTGCTAGAAATGAACATAAAACTTACTGCATGCTTTCCTGGTTGTGTCAGGGTAGTGCAAATGTGGCAGTTTTCAGCATATTTTATAGTCATTTAGTATTTAAAATTTTATAGCTAATTTCTTTCTTTGATTACAGTGCCCATATATCTCCCACCAGCATCTTACCAGCCTCTGCAGAGTAAGTAGTACACTTATAGAGACAACTTAAAAGTTCTAAAAAAATTACTAAATTGTAGGAATGAAAATCATGTATTTATTGTGCTTACTTTAGAGGAAAGATTGTACATAACACAGCTAAACTACTTAGTATTTTATGTACTACGGTAGGAACAAATGAAGAAGGCACACATTGCACTAATATACGAAATAAAGGTGAATTGTCTTCAGGTGATTTTTTGATCTTCTGAGAAGATTGAAAACTATCAGAGCTTTTGTTATTTTCTTTAAAAAATTGACTTCAGTGCTAGCTGGTTTGGCTCAGCAGTTAAAGCGTTGGCTGAGGGGTTGTAGTCTTAATTCCTGGTCAAGGGCAGGTACCTGAGTTGTAGGCTAGACCCCTGGCCCTGGACAGGATCGTGTGGGAGGCAACCAATCAGTGTGTCTCATATCAATTTTTTTTCTCTCTCTCTTTCCCTTTCTCCTTCCCTTCCATTCTATCTAGAAATCAATGGAAAAATATCCTCGGGTGAGGACTAAAAGAATAAATAAGTAGACTTTATATAAAAATATACAAACAATACCTTTGCAGTTTGCTTCTTTTATTTAGCTGAGCATTTGGTAAATTATTTTGCTTTATAAACATAGCTTTGAAAAGTCTCTTCAAGTGGCTAAATATATAGTAGTGTGGGTGAATTATTGTCACAACTGGTCCCTCTCACCTCAGTAGTATAGTGACACTATGTTTGATTTGTATAATATCTATTTTTGCAAATTGCATTTTAAAATTTAAGCCAGTGTTGTGTATTCCCTTTATGTATTATTATTTTTTTTTAATCTTCACCCGAGGATATTCTTCCATTTTTTGTTCAGATAGAGTGAGAGGGAGGGAGAGGAAGACAGAGAGAGAAACATGGATGTGAAGGGGACACATCCAGTGGTTACCACCCACACGACCAACCAGGGCCAGGGCCAAACTGCAACCGAAGTATGTGCCCTTAGCGGGAACCGAACCCGGGTTTCTCTGGACCGCAGGCTGACGCTCTAACCGATAAGCCATACCGGCCAGGGCTGTGTATTTCTTTTTACACTCTAGCTTACCCATTTACAATTCACAGTAATTGGTTTTACTGGTCATAGGTTTTAACATTTGTGTATATGTGGTCAAATACCCAGTTAGGGTGACTGCATCTCATTAAGATGTGTTCTGTTTTGTAGCGTTTTAGAAAGAACAATTAGAGCAGCTGTGGAACAGCACCTTTTTGATCTGCAGAGCAGCATAGATCATGATCTTAAGAATTTACAACAGCAAAGTCTGGTGTGTAATAATGAAGCAGGAAGTATTAATTGTGATGGGGAAGGATCTAATAACCAGTAAGAAACTTTTAACACTTTTTACTGTTATTATTAAGAGTTCAGTAAAGTTGTTTGTTATCTTTAAAAAAACCATATTTTTACTTAAATAATGGGATCTTATCTTACTTGGAGATTTCTGAAAGTCTATGTAAAAAGTGACTTTGTATGTACTTGTGTATAAATTATATATTTATGTAACATTGAAAATATCTTAAGTTATTTATTAAGTTTAACACAGCCAGATTTTTCTCCCAGAGCATCAGATAAAGTAGTTAGCTTGCCTTTACAGACTATGTTGTATGAAAAATAACTTTAAAAAGTTAGACCTCTGCCCTGGCCAGTTTGGCTCAGCGGTTAGAGCGTCAGCCTGCGGTCCTGAGAGACCCGGGTTCGGTCCCGCTAAGGGCACGTACTTCGGTTGCAGTTTGTCCCCGGCCCTGGTTGGTCGTGCGGGTGGCAGCCACTCGATGTGTCCCTTTCACGTCGATGTTTCTCTCTCTCTCTCTCTTCCTCTCTCTCCCTCCCACTCTATCTGTACAAAATATGGGAAAATGTCCTCGGGTGAGGATTAAAAAAAAAAAAAAAAAAGTTAGACCTCTGTGCAACAGATGGTGACACCAGCAGAGACAAGCAGAGATCTAGACAGGTTATAGGGACAGGAGATTGACATCGCTCCTGGCACATGTGACCAATGAATGACATGGTGAGCAGAATTACCTTTTGCTATTTAAATTGTTATTCCCTACCTCCAGCCTCTTCCCTCCCTACATGTTTTTTTTAGAGTGGCTATTAATAGTTGAATTTATATAAGTTTAAAGTACCTCTGTGTACTGTGTGATTTGATATTACTCTGTTCTTTAGTATGACTTGTTACCTTTAAATAAATGAAAGCTTCATCTTATTTCCTCTTACCTCAGTCCTGCACTTCAGGATATATAGGTGCCTTCCTCTGAGACCATATGCAATGATTTAATAGCTTTTATTTATCAATTTTTATTTTGGGGACAGATGAGAAAGATGTACCCAAATTTGGAGGATTCATAGAAAGGTAAAAAAAGAAAAAAATTATTACATAGAGAGTTTTCTTATATCTTTATAAATTTTTTTTTTCTTTATTGATTTTTAGAGAGAGGGAAAGGGAGAAGGAGAGAGAGAGAGAGAGAAACATCAATGAGAGAACATTGACTGGCCACCTCCTACATCCCCCCCCCCCACTGGGTATCTGGCCCACAATCTGGGCATGTGCCCTGACTGGGAATTGAACCAGTGACTTCTTGGTGCATGGGTTGACAATCATTGAGCCATACCAGCCGGGCTAGAGAGATTTTTTTTTTTAAGGAATATATTTTCATTTTATTCTTTGTTAATCCTCACCAGAGGATATTTTTCATTGATTTTTAGAGAGGGAGAGGGAGGGAGGGAGAGAAAGAAAGAGAGAAAGAAACATTGATGCGAGAGAGACATATTGATCTGTAGTCTTCCACAGGACTTCAACTGGGGCTGGGGATTGAACCTATAACTCTTCAGTGCACTGAGCCAAACCAGCCACGGCTAAGGAATATATTTTTAAAAGGCCAAATATGCCCGCTCAGTGTGACTCTGGATGGAGCGTTGTCCCATGGACCCAGGCCCTGGTTCGATTCCCGGTCAGGGCGCATGCCTGGATTGCGGGCTCTGTCCCCGGGTGAGGGGCATGCGGGAGGCAGCAAATCGATGTTTTCTCTCTCACATCGATGTTTCTATCTCTCCCTTCCTCTCTCTCTCAAAAAATTGATAAAAACATATTTAAAAAATATATGAAGTGAAACAAGAAATGAATGGACATGAAAACTAATGGTTGGAATATGTTTATTTTAGGAATACCATATTCCTAAGTACCTACAACTGCAGGCGTGTCATGTAATTTGCATGGATGGCATCACCAGCCTTTGCAGCTCTATGCAATGGCCCTGGTTGTCTGCTATTAAGGCTTGATTCGGACGGATAGAACTGGATATACAAGGGTGAATATGAAGGAAGAAAACAGTATCTGAAAGTTGGGGAAAATGTGAAACTGTTTCAAAGCATATAATATAAGCAGATTCCTTGAAGTTTTGCCCTTAGCTTAGCTAGAGATCCTGAAAACCTATGCCCATGCTCGGACAATATTCTTATTTTTGCCACTGGGTCAGTATTCTTATTTTTCCACTCATGTTCTCTCAGTAGTAGTACTGTCTTTGTAAATAAAAACCTGCAGTATTTCGCATATACTACATTATGTAAGATGGGAAAATCTGCAGTAGGAAGCTATTCCTGTTGTACTTGATAAAGTGTTGGGCTCTATGGTGTCTAGAGCTAGATTTGTATTTTAATCAAACAAATAGGTCATTATTATAATTGAGAGTGGGCATTTTTAAGGGAAATTGTTAGTTTGGCACATAAATTCTTTTTAAAGCCATTTCTTTGTTTTTGTTTTTTTCTTAAATTCTCATCTGAGAATATTTTCATTGATTTTTAGATAGGAAGGGGGAGAGAGGGAGAGAGATATTGAAACGATGTGAGAGGGAAACATGAATCAGTTAGGGCAGGGGAATTCAACCTGCAACCTAGGTGTGTGCCTGGACCAGGAATTGAACCCATGACCTTTTGGTGCATGAGATGATGCTCCTACCAACTGAGCCATTCTGCCCAGGGCACCATTCATTTGCATTTGCAGATTTTCAGAAGGAAATAGCAAACAAGTAAGATTCTTCACAACATTCCACGGAGAGAAAAAATAAACTTAGTGCATTTAATAATAAAACTTGACAGGAGAAAGAAACTGGACACATTTTCTTTAACAAGTAAAAGTTTCAGATCATTTTTGATGTTTATTTTAAAGTCATTACATATTCAACATTTGGCCTGATCTGATTTTTTAATCTTCATTACTAGGGTTGATATTGCTGATGATATTATTAATGCCAGTGAAAGTAACAGAGACTGCTCAGAACCTGTGGCTAGCACTAATTTAGACAATGAAGTTATGCAGCAAGATTTTGTATTTGAGGATGAAGAAAATAACCAGGTAAGAAATGCAAAGATTTTTTAAAAAGTCTCTCTTCGGTGTGCTAGACATATAACTCTTATTGTTTCATGTGTCCCTTTGACACCAGAAGCCATAGTTCACTATCTTTTCTAACACACATATTTGTCTTGATTCTATTTATTTATTTATTTATTTTTATCCTCACCCGAGGACATTTTTCCATTTTTTATTCAGGTAGAGTGGGAGGGAGAGAGAGGAACATAGAGAGAGAGAGAAACATCGATGTGAAAGGAACACATCGAGTGGCTGCCACCCGCACAACCGACCAGGGCCGGGGACAAACTGCAACCGAGGTACGTGCCCTTAGCGGGAACCGAACCCGGGTCTCTCAGGACCGCAGGCCGACGCTCTAACCGCTGAGCCAAACCGGCCAGGGCTTGTCTTGATTCTAAGTCTGGAAAACATACATTTCTCAGGAGAGGGCAGGAACTATCACTGGGTAGAGAAGTAGGTATAAAATGCATTATTTTAAATATTTTCTGAAAAGACAAATTAGCTGAGGTAGCTGGTGGTATTTTGGTTAAATTTTGTTCTTTTTAAAGTTTTTCTCTGGTTCCCAGATTTTTTTCTGAAGGACCTTTTCATAAGTAGAGAAAACCATGAATATCATTAAAAAAATAATTTATTTTCACTGTCAAAATTGTTAGTAGTAACATTGTTTTTAACATAATTTCAATAAATGTACAATGCAGCATCTTTTTTATTTTTATGACTACATGGATTTCTTTTAAAAAATATGTTTTTATTGATTTTTTAGAGAGAGAGGAAGTGAGAGAGACATCCATTGGCTGCCTCCTGCACAGCCCTTACTGGGGATGGAGTGCGCAACCCAGGCATGTGCCCTGACCAAGAATTGAACCAGGACTTCTTAGTTCATTGGACGATGCTCAATCCACTGAACCCCACTGGCCAGGCTTTTTTTTTTCTTTTTAAACTGATGTTTATTGTTGAATGTATTATAGATGTCTCCCCTTTTTTCCCCCATTGACCCCCCTGCTCCCTGCTTTCACCTACCTCCTGCCTTCCCCACACTATTGTCTGTGTTCATTGGTTATGCATATAATGCATAGAAGTTCTTTGGTTTATCTCTTCCTACCCCTCCCACTTTCCCTTTGAGGTTCATCAGTTTAACAACCAATTTCGTAATTCCTTCAACTTTTTCACCTCTCCCCCCAACTGCCTTCCATCTGGCAACCAACAAAAAGTTCTCTGTGTCTATGAGTCTGTTTCTGTTCTGCTTGTTCATTTTGTTTGTAGATCCAGTTGTTGATAGACATGTGTTTATTATTCATATTTTTGTTTTTCTTCTTCAAGAAGACCCATCAACATTTCATATAATACTGGCTTGGTGGTGATGAACTCCTTTAGCCTTTTCTTGTCTGGGAAACTCTTTATATGTCCATTGACTCTAAGTGATATCTTTGCAGGATAGAGTAAACCTGAGGTTTGGCAGTCTGTACCCCACATCCATGTCTCTGGGTTCATTCTGTTCATAAGATTGTTTTGTTAATTATATTCCACAAGTAAGTGAGATCATGTGATATTTGTCTTTCTCTGATTGGATTTTTTTGCTTAGCATAATACTCTCCATGTCATTTCAGATGTTAAGAGATCTTTCTTTCTTACAGCTACATAGTATTCCATTGTGTATATGTACCACAGCTTTTTTTATCTACTCATCTACTGATGGACACTTGGGCTGTAGTTTAGTTGTAATTTTGATGATGATGTGAGAGGAGGCAAGTACCACGTTTATCTACGCCACCATCTTGACCCAGGACAAAGCAGCATCTTTTTAAGACATGTTTTAAAGTTTAGTTTTGATAATACTTTTTAAGATAAGACTTAATTGATAAGGAAGTTTTCTTCAGCATGCTTTCATTCTAAAAGTAGGTATAATAAGACATTTAGAGTCAGGCAATTGAGATTTGTATTCTGGCTTCACCTCTTAATAGTGTGACTTCAGTAAGTCACCTAATTCTCTGAGCTTCTGTTATACTTATATAGATAAGTAGTGGGTAATACCAGTGTTAGAGAATTACTCTAAATATTGAAAGAAGTAAAAGTATAAAATTATTTAATAAATTGGAAAACATTTCACAGAAGTTAAGCTGCTGCTGGTGCTGCTGCTGTTACTACTGACTAGGCTTGTATATTTCTCGTGTATTAATGCTGTTACTTCCAGTGGTATGTTAGATTAATTCCTTTTCCTCTATTCATCTGTTAGATTCTAGATCAGTGGTTATTGCATCTGTAGTTATCTCCTTGCCCTTTCTTGAACTATTAATTTCTGCCTGTCTTCTGGATTATTCCAATTAGTATAAAATATTTATAATTAGTTCTCCCTTGTTTCGTATGGAAAAAATCCTCTCTTGACCCTTTATTCCAGTCTAGTGACAACCCTTTTTCCTGCTTCTTTTCATATGAATTCTCTGCTTCCCTTGAATGAATTGTCTGTCTTTAATTTTCTCCTCCCAGTCTTTCTTGAACCCAGTATAGGTGGCAACTTTTTGCCCTTACCTTCCTCTGAAACTGTTCTTGCAAGTCACCGATGATGTCTGTTGCACCATTTATTGACCTAAGAGCACAATTTAATTTTAGTTAATTTCTCCCACTATCTTGGTACATTCTCTTCACTTGACTTTCAGGATATCTCACTCCTCTGGGTTTTTTTTTTTTTTTTTTTTTTTTACATGACTGGCTGCTCTATCCCTTCACTGATTACTTTTCATGTTCTGAACCTCTGAAATTTGGAATGGTCCAAAGCCCAATTCTCAGATTATTTTTATTATTTTTTTTCATTTTCATTCACTCCTTTGGTAATCTTATTTCGTCTAATGAGATAACATAAAGATGTTAAAGGTTTCCAAATTTTTATCTCTAGTCCAGACCTCACTGTTAAATTTTAGATTACTAGATCCAGCTGTTTTGCTCAGCATTTCCACTTGAATATTTTATAAGCATCTTTAACTTAACATGCACAAACTGAATTTGTAATCTTGTTGGCACATATGCCTCTTCCTTTTGTCTTTATAATCTCATTAAAGGGCAGTTTCTCCTTCTGTATGCATAGGCCACAAACTTTGGGTCATTTTTTATTTTTTTCTCACATCCAGTCTTTTACAAAATTCTGTTGGCTGTACTTTCAAAGTTTATCTAGAACAGTGGTTCTCAACCTTCTTAATGCCGTGACCCTTTAATACAGTTCCTTATGTTGTGACCCCCAACCATAAAGTTATTTTCGTTGCTATTTCATAACTGTAATTTTGCTACTGTTATTTCTTGGGTGACCCCTGTGAAAGGGTCGTTCAACCCCCCCCCCCCCCCAAGGGGTCGTGACCCACAGGTTGAGAACCACTGATCTAGAATCTGACCACTGTTTACTGTTTCCATTGCAAACCATGCAGGTCCAAGCCAACATCATTTTACTTAGATTAATATAGCCTCCTAATGATCTCATCTTTGTCTCCCTATGGTCTGTTCTTAGTTTAGCAGCCAGAGTGATTTTATTTTTAATGAAAATTACATGTCAGTTCTCTTCTCAGAACCTTCCAGTTCCTTCTAGATGTAAGAGTAACACAATAGGCACTGAGGAAACACTGATGATTGGGATAGCTCAGTTTTAAGGTTCTGTATGGATTACCGTATGTCCAGTTATCTCCATGGCTCACTTTCTCATCTGTTCATGCAGATCATTTCTCAGTTTTATCTTCTCAGGGAAGTGAGGCCAAATCTCATCACTCTGTGTATTGGAGGTCCTCCCACTGACCCACCCCATGTAGTTTCTGAACTTTCTATCCTCCTTTCTGCCCCCCCTTTGATACTGTTATTATCATTGTATATATCTTTTAAATTATTAGTTTATTGTCTATCTTTCATTATTAGACTATAATTGTTTTTTGTTAATCATCACCTGAGATCTTTTTACCATTGATTCATTTTAGAGTGAAAGGAAGGATAGGAGGGGAGAGAGAGAGAAAAACATGGATGTGAGAGAGAGACATCGATTGGTTGCCTCTTGCACGTGCCCTGACCTGGGCATTGATCGAACCTGCAACCCAGGTACATGCCCTTGGAACCCAAGCTCCTTCGGTCCTTAGGTCGACACGCTAACCATTGGACCACACTGGCCAGGGCACAACACTTAAAAAATTTTTTTTTCTTTACTGATTTTAGAGAGAGTGGAAGGGAGAGGGAGAGAGAGAGATAGAAACATCAATGAGAGGGAACATCGATTGGCTGCCTCCTGCATGCCCCCCACTGGGGATCAGGCCTACAACCTGAACATGTGCCCTGACCAGGAATTGAACTGGCAACTTCTTGGTGCATGTGTCGACGCTCAACCACTAAGCCACACTGGCCAGGCAAACTGGAGACCTCTTGGTGCATGGATTGATGCTCAACCACAGAACCACACTGTCTGGGAAGGAAAAGCTACTTTTAATCCTCAGTTGAAGGGGAGATACAAAATATTTTTGAAGTAGAAGTTTGGAGGATTTACTCCAGATGGTTTTGACCATTTCATTTTTTTTTAAGTATTCTCGGGTGACGATTTATTTATTTATTTTTTTATCCTCACCTGAGGATATTTTTGCATTTATCTTCAGATAGAGAAAGGGGGAGGGGGGAGAAAACATCAATGTAAGAGAGGCACATCAAGTGGCTGCCACCCACACAACCCCAACCGGGGCCAGGAACAAACTGCAACCAAAGAACATGCCCTTAGGGGAACCGAACCCAGGACTCTCTGGTCTGCATGCTGATGCTCTAACCATGCTCTCACCACTGAGCCAAACCAGCCAGGGCAGTTTTGACCATTTCAAAATGAAATACCTCATCCTCAGAGAATGAGAAGATAGGAATAGAGTTTGGGGGTTTGAAGAAATTGGTTGAAGTTTTGTAAGCGACTCCATGGAGAGAAATCACATAGACCAAGAGACCAAGTAGAAGTGAATCAGTAATACTTGAGTTCCAGAAGTTTGTAGTGAGCAAGCTCAAGCAAGTTTGCATATTTGACATTATCTTGTAGAATATGTTTGCCTAGAGGACAAAAAGCTGACCATTAACTTGTTCCACATTAGTAAGAGCATTGATAAAATAGCTAGTTGGCCAGAGGTGCAGAGTACATGTTTAGTGGATTGTAAACTTGAAATGAGGCCTTAAAGCTAGTTCAGTAGAAGTGAGCAAGATGAAAAAGTTTCCAGAAGAGGAGAGTATGAATCTGACAAGATGTGTGACATGCATGAATCAAGTGGCTTAGATAAAAAGTAACTAGAGTCCAAAGAAGTTGTAGAAAAGGGGTCAGTAAACTTTTTCCTAAATGGTCAGATGGTAAATATTTTAGGGGTTGTGGGCCTTAGAGTCTGTCTCAACTATTTAACTCTGCTATTGGACCATGGAAACAGCCATAGAAAGTAATGTAAACAATATAGCATGGCTACCTTCCAATAAAACTTTATTTATGGCCCTGGCCGGGTGGCTCAGTTGTTTGGAGCATCGTCCTGTGCACAGGAAGGTTGCAGGTTCTTTTCCCAGTCAGGCACATACCTAGGTTGCAGGTTTGAATTTGGGTGCACACGGGAGGCAACCAGTCAATGTATCTTTCTCACATAAGTGTTTTTCTCCTTCTTTCTCCCCCCTCCTTCCCCTTCCTCTTCTCTAAAATCAATTAAAAAAAACTTTTGTACACTTTGAATTTCCTATAATTTGTACATTTCACAAAATATTATTTTTTTGATACCCCCCAGACATTAAAAAATGTAAAAACCATTTTTAGTTACTACCACTATTAAATCTTTAGTGACTAAATGCTGTGTATGGATAATTGGTTTTTGTTCTATAGATTTTTAAAATATAATTTTTACATTTTTGTCTTTTGAAAAAATGATAGATTCAGATAAAAACTTCAAAGTTTCAAAAGGATATATAGAAAAGTCACCTCCCCATCCCTATCTATCCATATTAATTTCCCCTCCACCATATTGACATGTAATGAAACTATAAAAACAACACTGTCCTATTTTAAAAATCAGTAGCCTTAGACGTAAACCATTTCACCTTGTGAAACTGGACTATAATGGGTCCGGGATGCCTGTTAAGCAGAGACAAGGTTGAATTGTGTATGAGTGTTATTTCAATATTGCTGGTAGTGTGGGAGAGCATCCAGGTCATCCTGCAAAAATCTATTCTGCATTCCCTCCATAGTCGGTTGCTTATATTGGGTACTACATGGGGAAGTAGGCAAAAGGGAGTATCAGTGGGTAAAATGGTTGAGAAAGTAGCCAAAGGGAATAACAGTGGATAAAACAGTTACAGATTATAGGCACTATTGTTGCTACCTCCACTATCAAAGCTCACTAGCTTACTTGAATTGAGCCCCCTCTTCTCCATCAGTGCCTTAGACCTCCTTTTGAGGACTTCCGTGTTTGTGGGGAAGAAAATATGAGCTATTTTGCCAGCAGATATTTTAGAAAAAATAATTTCTGCTCTACCCATGTACAAAGGAAGAACATTTTATGTAGCGTGAATTCTGAGGAAGTAAAATTTCTTTAAATGAAGAAATATATTTTAGTTTCTAAAGAAAGTATTGTATATTTTCCTGTTGCATTGAAGTCTGGCCATATTCTAACCTGAGTCTAATAATTCTTACTTTTATTTGTCCTGGGGCATAATAGCACAATTCTGTACCTGACTCCAAATTTCATCTGCTTTCTTCACTGCTGGTCTATCTGCTTTTAATTCTGTCATTGCATTTTTCTTTTAAATTACATTTGCCTTTTTATTTGCTACTTGTTTCTATTTTAAGTATTTGTTGCCTAATTTCTAGCTGGAGGGTATGTGGGTATTATATCCGTTTTTATAGTTTGTTTCAGTTATGTCATAGTAAAAAGAATTGTAGGTTAGATAAGACTTGGTGATGTAATAGTGTGCTTTTATAAGCAAGTAAATGATTATTATGCTCATATTTGTGAGGAAGTTAGAGCTGGGATTTAATTTAGTTCTTTGAGTAAAACACCAAGGATCATTTTAAATATTGGATCTGGATAATAGTATTTTATGTACCCAGAAGTCTTCATATTTAAGAATGAAGCTACTGCCAGGTTGCTGTGACTCAGTGGATTGAGTATTGTCCCATGGACTGAGAGGTCCGGATTCCATTCCTGGTCAGGATGCTTGGGTTGCGGGCTCGATCCCCAGTGGAGGGCGGGTAAGGATCTGTGGATGGATTTTTTTTTTCTCCCTTCCTCTCGCTCTTAAAAAAAAAAAAAAAAGGCAATAAAAACATATTTAAAAAGAGTGAAGCTACTATATTCCAGCATGAAGGTTGCTAAAGTCTATTTCTAGACCGGTGGTTTTCATTTAGGATCTCAGGACCTCTTTTTATTTTTTTATTATTATTATTATTATTTTTTTTTAGTCCTCACCCGAGGACATTTTTTGATATTTTGTTCAGATAGAGTGGGAGGGAGAGAGAGAGAGAGAGAGAAACATCGACGTGAAAGGGACACATCCAGTGGTCGCCATCCACACGACCCAACCAGGGCTGGGGACAAACTGCAACCGAGGTACATGCCCTTAGCGGGAACCTAACCTGGGTCTCTCCGGACTGCAGGCTGATGCTCTAACCGGTGAGCCAAACTGGCCAGGGCATGGACCTCTTTTTAAAAAAATATTTTTATTTTTAGAGAGAGAGGAAGGGGGAAAGAGAAACATTGATTCGAGAGTGAAGCTTTGATTGGCTGCCTCCTGTACACCCCCTACCGTGGGATCAAGCCTGAAACCCAGACATGTGCTCTGGCAGGTGACTGAACCAGTCACTCTTTGGTGCATGGGACATTACCCAACCAACTGAGCCACACCAGCCAGGGCTCAGGACCTCTTTATACTCTTAAACGTTATCGAGGATCCCATAAAGCTATTGTTTACATAGATATATCTACCAATATTTACTATATTAGAAATTAAGAAATGTTTATTAACAATGAACTCATTCAAGGTAACAAATAAGGTTGCCTTTTTTCCTTAATAAAAGGAAGGTATTTAAATTTTTTTTTTATTTTGAGGAGTAGCATGGCATAATGTTACTCTAGGTTCTTTTGTTTGAAGTGTATGATGACAATTTAGGTTTACAGAGTTATGTAGTTGGAAAAGGGAGAAATATTTTAATAGCTCTTTTCAGATAATGTTGGACTGTCTTTCATATTGAACAAGTTTCTTAAGAATCTAAGAAGAATTGAACCTTTTGTTGATTTCAGAGGTGTTAATCAAAAACACTGAAAAGTTTACATAAATTTGTAGTAATGCACAGGACATTCGTGTTAGACTTGGTAGGTATTTATTTTGGGGAGTAATAGGGATGGGATGGTGTCACTAGGTCATTAAGACATGGAGGAGTGTTCTTAAGTGTTTTTGAGGTTCACAGTTATTATTTCAAATAAGAGGATATGGTGAACTACATGACTCCTCTGTCACTTGCTAAGAAGTTACCAACTTCGATGTTTGTGGCTGAGGAGGAGGAGAAGCAGCAGTTGGTAAGTGGGACCACAAGACCATAATTTTTGGAGGAGAGAATTCTAAGGAACGAAAAGGAATATGATAGTAGTTATAGTACCTGTTCCCTAATAAGGTATCGAGTTAAAGAGGGCATTTGACTAAATTGTAATCTATTCTAATTTAGATTGGAAACTTCCTTTCATGCAAATATGGGGAGCTCCATTAATACAGTGGTGGTGTTCTTTTTGTCAGTCTGTAGGAATACTGTTAGAGCCATGTGGTGACCATGGTGATAATGAAGATGGCTGTCTTGAGAGGTAAGCATTTTTTCTTGTTGTTGTTAATTAATCATTTTAGATTTGGTGTTCTTAAGTATTGTGGTGAAATTTTTAGGTGACTCTATTATAGCATATGTTTTAGATAATCTAAAGAACCAAGCTTCTTATTTTAATGGTAAGCATGAAGCATATTAAATTCAAAGGGGAACACAACCACCTTGGAGATACTTAAAACTTTCAGTTGATTTGTAGAACAATTGGGAATTTATTGACATTCTGAATACCTTTCAGTGTATTATAGTCATAGAACTATGGATGACTAACTGAAAGATTGTAGGCTATAGCATATTTGGTTCAATAAATATGTATAGGATGTTTTTGTTCCTCTTCTCCTTGGTATGTCCCAGGACTGTGTTTTTTTAAAAAAATTAAATTTATTGAGGTAACATTAGTTAATAATATTATATAAGTTTCAGGTGTACAACATTATAATTCAATATCTGTATACCAATATTTGACCCCTTTTACCTAATTTTAGCTCTCCTCCACCCTCTTTTCCCTCTGGTAACCATACCGTTCTGTTATATATATTGTTTTAGCTTGTTTTGTTAGTTAGTTTGGATTATACAGTTTTTATCTTTTTTGTTTGACTTATTTCACTTAGCATAACCATCTTATGCAGTTGGTGCTTGTTTACCTCTTTGGCCAGCAGTAATGGGAAGAAGATTCCTTAAGGCAATGAATATTTCAGCGATATATGGTTTCCATAGATAGTCAGTAGATTGAATTCCTTTGAACAGAAGTTTTCTAGAATGTTTTAAGTCATCATGTAGGTTTTAGATTTTGTTACTCTTTTTGTGATTCTATAAGATGTTGCTAAAAAGTGTATTATAACTTTCTTAGGAAAGATAATTGACATCCTGGAAACAAATCAGTAATAAAGTTGCAAAATAGATTGTAAATGCTGAGAAATTCCAAACAGCATTATTAATTTGGTGATAGCTTGTTGGCAAGGATTAACTTGCGTTAATGCCATTGTCTCTCTCTCTCTCTCTTTTGGGGTGTGGGGGTAATCCTCACCCAAGGATATTTTTCCATTGATTTTTTATTTATTTATTTTAAGATAGAATGGTAGGGAGGCAGAGAGAAACGTTGATGTGAGAGAGAGACACATCAATTGATTGCCTCCCGAATGACCCTGACTGGGGCTGGGGATCGAATTCAAGACCCTTTGGTCTGAGGGCTGATGCTGTAACTGCTGAGTCAAACCAGCCAGGGCCCATTGTCTATTTTAATTGTGAGTAGGAAACCTATTCTCTGAGGGTAAGTAAATTCTTTGGAGCCATGTCTCTGGAGCGTTCCCATACTCTGAAGGTCCACAGATTTTCTGCTTACAGCAGTTCCTTGTGCTTCCTTTCAGGAGGCAGGAATGATCCTCTTCCAGCCCAGGGAGTATTGGAGCTATGGGCTGAAGATATAAGATTGACAGGCATCCCCAGAATGATGACATCTGGATTTGGTAGAACAATAAGGATCCATTTAGTGAGGACTCAATCTTTTTGGAAAAAGCTCTTTCCTCTTCAACTTTGTGTATAGGTTAGCAAACTTGTTTTTAGATCCAAAGAGTTTCTTGGTTAGGTGTCTTTTACATTTTGTATATTTAACACTCATGTTTCTCGAATTTAGTCTGTTAGGGTAGAATTTAGCTCATCCCACCACTTGTTCCTGCAAAGGAAGGCTTTTGAGCTTGCCAGGGAACTTAGTTGTTTACATGCTTAGCAAGAATAAGGTAATTAGGTATATGAGGAGATGACTTGCTGTATTTAGATCAAGACCTGTCTTCTTAGTGCATACTCTGTTATGGCAGGGTAGAAGCAGCACCTGCATGTATCATTGTAAATTGCCACAGTGTCTTTGGGGAGAAGAACTTTCCTTCAGTAGGTATATTGATAACCTACTATACTAGATGCTCTGTTGATTGGTCATACGAGTAGAGATTATTTGTGACAGCTTGCTGTAACACTTGTTCTAAATAGGGGTAGGTTTTTGTGGGGAAATAAGAAATTTTAAAAATTTTCCTGTTTACATGTTATGTTTTTAGGAAGGAGGGGTTTAGAAGTAGTAACCTTGTTTTGATTGTGATAGAATATAATCAGATTTAAAATAAAGGACATAACTATACCTTTAAAAAATCATCTTTAAAAGAAAAATACAATATCCCAGAGTAGGGGAGTATAAATCTCTTTGGCTAAAACTAATATTTATTTTACAATTTTGCATTATACATTCAGTCCTTTTGCTTTCTATTATGGATTTATTATTTTTTTAATCCTCACGTGAGGACATGCTTACACACACTCAGGGAGGGAGGGAGAGAGAAGGAGGTGAGAGAAAGAATGGGGTTAGGAAGAAACATTGATCGGTTGTGTCGGAATTTGCCCTGACCCAGGATCAAACCCGAAACCCAGGCATGTGCCCTGACTGGGTATTGAACCAGTAACCCCTCGGTGCTCAGAATAATACTCACCCAACTGAGCCCCTCTGGCCAGGCTTGTTTTTAAGATTTTTGGCGGTGGTGGGTGTGGTTATACAGGAGGGTGGTGAATGTTACTTAGTTTTTCTAACCTGAAGTGATTCTGTGGATCTTTTGAGTAGTGTGTGATTTTCAGATATAGGGCTCCAAAGAATGGGCATGTGTCTAGTAGTCATTATTCTCTCACATTGTATGCTAACTATATGGGGAAGAGAGGAATCTAGGTAAGAAATATGCAATGATAGCAGCCATTTATTCTTAAAAGAATAATAACTTTGTTTTTATTTTTAGGAAAGAATATTTGTCATTTGACAGTGATAAATTGTCTCACTTGATTCTGGTAAGAATTATTTTTCCTTTATGGTTCTTAAAAATTTGACTAGGCTTAATCTACCAATTATTATATCTGGCTTTTAACTCTTAAGTTATATAGGTTTCAAGGTAGATACTTTTACCAAATGTTTGCAGTTGAAGTAGCACTTAATAGTGCCACTTTTGGTTATAAGAAACTTGGTTATGAAAACACTCTGTATTTGGGATCCAAACTTTGTCTCCCAGTAAGACATATTATAAAACTGCAGATTTATATTGGGAAATAGTTTGGATGGTGGAAGTGGGGCAGCTGGCTATATAGGCACAGTAAACTAATGAAGACCACATAGGATATATGTTGGTTATCTATAAGTTGGGTATGAAAGCTTCCTGGTTGTGAAATGTATCCTTATTTTAAAATATAGGATTCTCACAGCAAGATATGTGATTTGAATGCCAACACTGAATCAGAAGTGCCAGGAGATCAAAGTGTTGGTGTTCAAGGAGAAGCAGCATGTGTCCAGATTCCACATTTAGATCTGAAGAATGTTTCTGATGGTGATAAATGGGAAGGTAATTTTACCCACACGCATCATTTTCCTTGTAATGTTCTTTGTAACTTAAATTACCCAGAGCAGTATCAAGATTACTACCCCTTTTCTGAACAAACTTACTGATTTTGATTTTCTATACTCTTTTTCATATAAGACGAGTGACTTAATACACAAATGCACCAATGAGATTATGGTGCTACTATCTCCAAAGAACTAAAAGTTCTTATCTGATCCATTAGCTTTGAAGGTAGATGTTAGAACTGAGTAAAAAATAAATAAAATCACCCAGGATAGACTTTTGTTAATTTTTAAAATAGGTGATAATTGACCAGCCTTTGAAAGTCCAGTGTGTTAGGGACTTACATATAGCTACCTGTTCTTTATGATCATCAGGAATACTTTATTTTATTATTATTATTTTTTTTATCCTCACCCGAGGACATTTTCCCATTTTTTGTACAGATAGAGTGGGAGGGAGAGAGAGGAAGGGAGAGAGAGAGAGAGAAACATCGACGCGAAGGGACACATCGAGTGGCTGCTCCCCGCACGACCAACCAGGGCCGGGGACAAACCGCAACCGAGGTACATGCCCCTAGCGGGAACCGAACCCGGGTCTCTCAGGACCGCAGGTCGACGCTCTAACCGCTGAGCCAAACCGGCCAGGGCAGGAATACTTTATTTTTAATGAGCTTCCGAGGCATGTCTATGCAAATACTGTATCATATCTCCCTGTATTAGATTATGAAGTTTGGGAGTCAGATCCTAGCAAATTTAGAAAGGAGAGAAGTTTGAATTTAAATTTAAAAAGCAAGACACCTGGGTATATGTATATATATATGTCTAAACTTAACAACTGTATACTTAAACCTTGGATTTGATTATATATGGTTTGTTTTCTTTTTAATCAAAAGAGGCAAAAAATAAACAACTAGTGATTGATTTGCATGCTGAAGTGTTTATGGAGGTGTATGCTGATATCTGAATTTTACTTTGAAATTCATGAAAATAAGATGGTTAAATGGGATAGATAAATGTCTTAAAGCAAGTACAGTCAAATGTTAATAGTAGAATTTAGGTAATTGATATATGGATGTGCACTGTAAAATTCTTTAAACGTGGCCGTGTATTTGCAAACTTTCAAATAAAATGTTAGGGTGGGGCGTAGAAGCAAGCGACAAGTTTGGATCCAGGAGTCCTTTTGGATCAGACACTTTCCTTGATAAAGAGACAATGAGACAACTGAGGAATCTTAAATAAAGTTACATATTTGTTCGCTTGGATGAAGATCCCTTGGTTATCTCACCTTTGGCAAGTTAGCTAATGACTTACAGTGGCAATTACAAGAGGAATTGCAATGCCAATACCATGGACTCCTTTTGCTGTCTCAAGTCTACTCACCTGATCACAGTTGGAGTGTTTTAAGATATAGCCAATTTTAAAGTCCCAACCAAGTCATTGTCTGTGCCAACCTTTACTGCTGTCTCCCCGCCCTTCCCCTATTTTTTTGTCTAGATGTTTGGCATGCCTCCCAGTGGTATATTATGTATCTTAACTTATACTAATACGTAAATCAGGAAGTTGTCTTTCATTTGCTTTTTTCTGGGTTATTCGGGATGTTTAGAATTTATGAAGATGCTCCCCAGAGTTAGGGAATCTGTTAGCATCCTGGTGGCAATGAAAATCCAATGTTTCTCTTAGTTATTCTGGCATAGTCACTGAAAGGAATGGTGGTCAACAGAGCATCCCTGGAGCTGCAGTAGGAAAGAAGTCTCTGAAAGAGCAGGCTGGGATTCTGACAAAGGACTTATGCTTCTTCCTCTTGAAGAATGCAGCCCTTCACAATCCTGAAGATTTTAAGCATAAAAGAGCAATTGTTTTTCATTATCTGAGGAGACAGGACATTGTCTAGCTTCCATTTTCTGGAAACTTCTCCAAAGAGAACCTAATGCTGGGCTCTCTTTTGTGTCTATGTCAGAATCCACCCCTTACAGCTTGTGGTATGGAAGGGAGGTAACTATGGACTACTGATCCCTGATTTTCAATGTCCTAACTGTCCTGTTATCCACCTGACTCAATAGCCTTGACAAGTTCATGTCGGCTACCTTCAGGGTCTTCAAGGAATAGGGGTCAGTGACTTTTTTTTTCTTTATTGATTTGAGAGAGGAAGGGAGAGGGAGAGATAGAAACATCCATGAGAGCCCTGGCTGGTTTGGCTCAGCCCAATGAGTCGCGGGTTTGATTTTGTTCAAGGGCACATACCTTGGTTGTGGTTCGTCTTCGGCCCTGGTTGGGGTCATGCGGGAGGCAGCCAGTCGATGTGTCCCTCTCTCATCGATGTTTCTCTCTCTCCCTCTCACTCTATCTGAAGATAAATAGAAAAATATCCTCAGGTGAGGATAAAAAAAAAAAGCATCAATGAGAGAGAACATCGATTGGCTGCCTCCTGCATGCCCCCCACTGGGGATTGAACCCACAATCTGGGCCCTGACCAGGAATTGAACCAGTGACCTCTTGTTGCATGGGTCAGTGTTCAACCACTGAACCACACGAGCCGGGCATAGGGGTCCGTGCTTTTAGAAAGCAAAGGAGGGTAGTAGACATGTGAGTGAAATCTTCTCAGCCATGAACTCCGTGTGTGCTTTTAGTGCGTGGCCGTTAGCAGATCATGTTTTTCCTTCCAACTTTGCCACCAATACAAAGATTGATTTTCTATAACTAGGAGTTAGATTTTCTAAATAAAAGTTTTTCTTAAGTGGCTAAATCACCTCACACCATAGATACCTTGGAATCAGAGACATACCTTGTTTGACTGTGACTCCTTATAGAGAAGTGGGGTGACTCCAGATAGAGGCCCTCCTCTTCCTGTGTGTGGGTTTTCTTTTTTGTGTTGCTCAAAGTATAGTCAACAGAATGCAGTTAGCAAGCAGGTAGCACATATCTACCACTAGTAAGAATGTGTATCAGCTGTTCAAAAGGTCTTGGCTTTTTATGGAAGTGGATAACATTTTTCCTTCAGATCCTCTCCTACTAACTCTTGAATGGAAATAGCAATCAAAGAACAATCAGAGGGAGATACTTTTCTGTCAAATCAATTATACTGAAAACTGCAACGAGTACCTGGTTAAGAGTTTCCATTTCTTTAATTTTATGTTTGAGTTTTAATAAAACAGTACTTCTCTGATTTTGTTGCCTTGCTTGCTGAAATGAAAATGTATGTTTGTGTTTCCTTTTAAAGTTTGGTTAGTAATTTCTTTGAATAAAGTTTTGAGCGGAATGCCTAACTGGTTTTAGGGAAATGTTTTAGGTATCTTTGGCTTTGTGTTAGTTATGTGTATGGTTTGTTCTGACTGTGCTGTGTGTTCACTTTAGTATTTTTTGCCATTTTTTTCCATTTTATTAGCGTCATGCCCTATCACTTTTCCCCTCATTGATTTCAAAACAATGCATCTGCAGAGAGATGGGGAGGGTAAGTATGGTTCACCATAGTTCAGTTTTTCTGCCTTTTTATGGTTCACTTTGTTTGCCTTTTTATTAGCCCTTCTCCTGCTGTCCCCATATAGTAGGAAACTGATCTGGGTTAAAAATGTACCCAGAAAAAATTGTTTCTGTTACTTCTGTCTTTTCTTAAAATAGGAGATTTTTCATAAAATGTTTATTACCAGTTACTTATTTGCTGGGAAGCAGGTACAAGGGTTGCTTTGAAAATCACTTTATTGCTGGGTTTATTGTGGGATTGCACGCTCTGTACCCAATTTTTAGTGATAAGATTAGTCTTGGCTTTAAAATTACAAAATTATGTTTTTATTATCCTGGGGGGGGGGATGTAATACTGTACATTGCTGATGAATAAAGATTTTAGACAGAGAGGGAGGGAGTGGGAGAGAGAGATAGGAACATCTATTGGTGGCCTCCTGCTTGCCCCACCACTGGGAATCAGACCTACAACCTGGGCATGTGCCCTGGCCAGGAATCGAACCAGCAATCTCTTGGTGCATGGGTTGATGCTCAACTACTGAGCCACACTGGCTGGCCCAGCAAAAACAACATTCTTGATTTTTGACACTGTCAAGCCATCTTTGCATCCAAAAATACTTTAAAACTCATTTTGTTATTGTTAATAGCCATGGTATCAGAGTTTTAAATTGTAGTTATAAATAAAGTTTATGTGTAGGTGGAAAAGTGAAAAGTATTTCCCCTCTTGAAGTTAATTTTATGTTTGGAGTATATTTGTGGATGGTGTGTTTATTTCTATGTGTTATATATGTAGTTAAGCCTTATATGTGCAAAAATATTAAATATATCAACATGATTTTATTTGAAAACATACAGGATAAATAATAAATGTGTTTAAGAAAGACTAGTGCTATTAAATTATGTCTTGATAATACTGTTAGGTATTTAATTATTAAAATATATATTATACATAGGAATCCTGTAACAAAAAATAACCACCACAATTTAATGGTAGAGGCCAGGTGCTGTTACATGAGTTAGCTACTCGTTTGAAAATGTTAGCATTCTTCTGGAGTCAGAGAGCTCCATTTGGTGAATGTTCTGTATATCGTGGGGAATAGCTTCCACTTCTTCTTAACATAGCCACTTGATAGTGAGGGACAATTTATTCACCTGGCAGCATTTAGCTATGTTAAATTCCTAACTAAAGACTTTTGAGTGTTTCTAAATGAAGACTTTCCCTACTTTAAAAATAACATTTGCTATAATTTTAAAGAGCTTGACAGTGTCCTTTCTTGCTTTGTGACTGGTTTCAGAAATGTAAAGTGTAACTCCTTATATGAAAATAGAACTGTAGAGTTAAGAATGAAACTTAGGCAATTTTAAACTATAGTAGGGTTTACAAAGATGCTAGTATCACTTGTTTTTTGTTTTAAAGTATCATAAATGTTATATGAACCATCACATAATGGTCTGGTTTAAAGGACATACAGCTGATATTGTATGACTTTTTTTCCATGTGGAACCAAGAGACCCATGGTACTACTCTTTGTGTTTGTTTTACAGAGCCATTTCCTGCTTTTAAGTCTTGGCAGGAAGACTCTGAGTCTGGAGAAGCTCAGCTCTCTCCACAAGCTGGAAGAATGAATCACCACCCCCTGGAAGAGGATTGTCCTCCAGTATTATCACACCGTAGTTTAGATTTTGGGCAAAGCCAGCGTTTCCTACATGATCCAGAAACATTGGCTTCCTCATCTAAAGCACTTTCTTTTGCTAGGTATATGATTTTATGTACTTATTAGAGGTGATTCCTATTACATACCCAGGTCCTTTGAGAGATTTAATCCTTTAGACCAGTGGTTCTCAACCTTCCTAATGCCGCGACCCTTTAATACAGTTCCCCATGTTGTATGTGGGCGTATCTGCATGTGGGTGGACCCGCCTGGAGATGGATAGAGGAGCGGCATCTTGGTTCCTAAGACCATTGGAAATATGTGTTTTCCGATGGTCTTAGGTGACCCCTGGGGTCAAGACCCACAGGTTGAGAACCGTTGATCTAGACCTACAGTTCAAAGCATTCTCCTGTATTTCATGAAGCACATTTTTATAACTTTAAATTTTTTGGATCCCTAAATTCTGGGTTCGTTGAGGTGTACTGTTTGGGATTTGCTCTCTAATAGAAATTTTCTCATGGTGTATATATTAATTTAATCATTCATAATTGAAATATAGAACTCTGAAAGAGGAGCTACAAGTGGAGCTCACCAATTTCTAATATTTTTGTCAAAATTTTGTTTTATTATTATTTTTTAATCCTCATCCAAGGATAGTTTTCTATTTATCTTCAGATACAGTGGGAGGCAGGGAGGGAGGAAGAGAGAGAGAGAGAGAAACAAACATTGATATGAGAGAGACACATCGACTCTCTCGCACGACTCTGACCAGGGCCGGGACTGAACTGCAACCGAGGTGTACATACCCTTGACCGGAACTGAACCTGCAATTCATTGGTTTGTGGGCCGACGCTCTAACTGCTGAGCCAACCTTGCCAGGGCTTATTGTCAAAATTTTAAATTAAATTTATTCTTAACGTCAAAACCTTTCATTTGCAGTTTGAACACAAAGAAGGCTCTGAGTTGCCTAGGTATCTTTGTTTCTTTTTTGCCTTTGCCCAAATAACTTTTGAATGATTTTACATTGCTTTCATCAACACTTGTATTAGCGAATTTTGTGGCCTGTATCACTACAGCATAAGTTTCTTTTTCTGACTGTTTTTTAGTGTTAGGGTTATACTTCTTGGTAATAGTATCATGTTATATCAGGGCAATAAGAGATATGGTGTTGATGACTTAAAATTTTAACACATGGTGTTTGCCTCTTGGTTTAATTCAGGATTCGAAGATCATCCTTTAGTTCAAAAGATGAGAAAAGAGAAGACAGAACACCATATCAGTTGGTCAAGAAACTTCAGAAAAAAATCAGACAATTTGAAGAACAGTTTGAAAGGGAAAGAAATAGCAAAGTAAGTGTGTAGCATTGCCAGCGTGAGGTAGATCTATTGGAATGGGAAGATGTATTTGGAGAGCATTAGTCCATTTCTTCCTGGAAGAGAGAACGAATCTGAAATACCCAGACATCATACAGATCTGAGATTGTATAAATCCTTAGCCTCTGGATTTCCATGCCAGTGTTCTTGCCATTGCATCTTTTTATATTTCCATTGGCTAAAGAGCTTGTAGAATTTTTAAAGTAAATACTTGACATTGACAAATTACGTTAATACTACTTCTTTCCCTCTAAAACCACAAGTACCAAGGGTAAGAGTTGGAGAAGAGTTTAATTTAATACTTTTAAATAATGTTAAATATAATAATAAAATAAAAGTAAATATAATAATGATACATAATTTACATTTAATAATAATAAATTTAATCTAATAATTTAATAATTACAACTTGAAGTGGAAAGAGTCCTATACAAGGAGTCAGAAGACCAATATTTAAATCTGGCTTGTGCCGGTTGCTAAGCTCTGCCCTGAGAATTTTCCTTAATATCTACTTAAATTAAGGTAAGATGAAAATGAGGATTGAGTGACATCTCTTCTGTGGAAACTAAAATATTTCTTTGGTGTAAATTAACGTAACTATTGTTTACCACAAAGGTGTCAGTGATTCTGTTCCTTAATTTTTCAGCCATCCTACAGTGATATTGCAGCTAATCCAAAGGTTTTAAAGTGGATGACAGAGCTTACCAAACTGCGGAAACAAATTAAAGGTATAAAATGTGCCATATTCATAACATATATTCATTTAAAAAATATTCTTCATAATGTCTATGAGAATTATAGTTATAATTTTGATAATTATGAATATTGGACACTGTTCACCAAAGTAAAAGTTTTCTTATTAGTCATGGTCAGTTGTGATGCTGTACAATTCTTCCAAATGTGTTTCTGTGTTTTAATTAGTAGTGTTCTTTTGAAAGGTACCCTAGATTGTATCTTCAAAGGTTGTACTATATTATAAAGTTTATCTGAAATATATTTATAATATTAAGCAGTTTCGGTTTTTGGTATTTCATCTTAGGCTACGAATATCTAATCATAATGAACTGTTTATACAAAGACTAAATAGTAAACCGTCTCTAATCAAAAACTAGGTACTGTGTTACTGGGTATTATCTAGAACAGCAGAACACACACTCTGTGTATGTTTAGTGAGCATGTTTTAAAATACTCTTTAATACTTAAAAAGTTATTTGTACCAAGTATCATATTTTGGTTTATTGATTTGAATTCAACCAAGTTTTTAGTATCTTTAAGTATAAAGTACTTGTAGACATGAGGTTATAGCAGTGAACAAGACAGACAGTATTCCTGTTGTCATTGAGTTTACATTTTTGTAGTTCTCTCTTATTTAGAATTGTTTTCTACAACTCTGTTAAGCATTTCTTTGTTTAATTTCAATTTCCAGCCAAATTGATTTCCAACTAATTTTTTAATTTTCTTCCACTCTTGTCCTATAGTCCATTTCTTTCATAGCAGCCAGAATTATCTTTTTAAACATTGTTATCATCTTGTTCAAAGCCCTTCATTGGTCTTCCATTCTCACTTAAAATAAAGTCCAGATTTCTTGCCCTGACTTTTAGACTCTTGCATACTCTGCCCTTAGCTAATTTTATCACTTTCTTTCCTTATTTTCTGTTCCTTAAACATGCCACTCTTTAGGGCCTATACACTGGCTATTGCCTCAATTGCGGAGGAATGTTCTTCTCCTAAATCTTTTGTACTAGGTTATCTCCTTATTCGACGTTCAACTAGGATGTCACTGTCTCCAAAAGGCCTTCATTGTCACCCTGGCTGGTTTGGCTCAGCGGTTAGAGCATCGGCCTGCGGTCCAGAGAGACCCGGGTTCAGTTCCTGCTAAGGGCGCGTACCTCGGTTGCAGTTTGTCCCCGGCCCTGGTTGGTCATGTGGGTGGCAGCCACTCGATGTGTCCCTTTCACGCCATTGTTTCTCTTTCTCTCTCTCTCTTCCTCTCTCTCCCTTCCACTGTATCTGAACAAAAAATGGAAAAATGTTCTTGGGTGAGGATAAATCAGTCAATCAATCAATCCTCCACATTAAAAAACAAAAACAAAAGGCCTTCATTGTCAATTCCATCCAATGTAGTCGCTCTTCCACAAGCACAGCTCTGTTTCCTTTAGTACTGTGATACCGTCTTATCTTCTTTGTAGCACTTAATACTCTTTGAAATTATTTTGTTTATGAATTTGATTACTTGGTTTTTGTTTTTACTTCCCTGAATTATATGCTCCATGAAAATAGAGATGGTATCTGTTTTTCCAATGCTTATCAGAGCATCTTACATTATAGTAAGCTTTCTATGACTATTGGTTGAAAAAAGGAATAATATAGCTCTCTTGCTATATAATTTAAATATTTCATGTAACCTTGGAATTTTATCTGAGCCTGTGTGCTGTTAATGTAAATTTTTCTGTTGTATATCTTGTTTATTGCTTATTCTTTTGACCTAGTTGTGTTTTAGCTAAAACACTGATTTATCTTCTTGGTTTTGAAATGTAGATGCAAAACACAGAAGCTCTGATGGAGAATTTGTACCTCAGACACGTCCGCGTAGTAACACTCTTCCAAAAAGCTTTGGCTCTTCTCTAGACCATGAAGATGAAGAGAATGAAGATGAATCCAGGGTCATTCATAAGGAGAAGAAGCCATCTAAAGAAGCAACACTTGAACTTATTCTGAAAAGACTGAAGGAAAAACGTGTTGAGAGGTGTCTTCCAGAAGATATCAAAGTAATCTTGAGCTATGGTGTTTGCCCAGACTAGTCTTTTGAGTCCCTAAAACAAAGTAATTTCCACAGAGGCATAGGGATGTCTAGGTAATCTGACCGGCCTGAGTCTGCTCCCCAAGTTTGCAGATATAGAAACATGTTTTTATCAGCACACCAGAAGTGCCTGATCATTCAGGGACTGAGTCACAATAATAAGACTAGAATGATCTGTTCAGTATTGGAAACAGTTGGTAAGATGAGTAAAGAGCATGAAACAGCCTCGATTTGAATTCTGGCTTTGTATCTTAACAGTTATATATCTTAACAGTATTGATTTCTTAGCTTATGTTTGGCTCTGACTGATTATAGTATGTGCATTCTGCCACTGAATCCCTTTGTCAGCCCTATGATTTATGATTATGTCCATTAAAGTAATAATACAATATGATTGTTATGAGGATTAAATGAATGCATTTCCTAAACGAACCATTACTCGCTAAGCCCATGCCTACAGCAGTCCTGTCAAAGCACTTGGCAACCCAAACCATTTAGCAGTTGAGATTTACTGGGAGAGTACAGAGGTAGATGGCCTCAAGTGAACTTCTGTCCAAGCAATAATGGGTCCTGATGTGAATTCCTGTCTTGACATAAGAGTTACACCTCTCTCATAAGCTAAATATTAGGACTCTCTCCTTTGAACAGAGCCAGATTAGAAATTCTAATTATTCTTTTCTTCCAGCTTTTCTCATTTTTCAATTTTGTATTAGACCAACCTCTCCCTCCCCTTCCTTTAAATAATTTTGATGGATTATCTTTTTACTAGGTTTAAGATTCCAGCTTGAGGTTGAAATCACAGTGTTTTATAGAGTCTGTATCCAGCTGTCTTCTACTGAATGTGCACAATCTAAAGTGCTATTCATTAGAGGAAGATAATATCTAGTGAAAAAACTTTGTTTTTTAAATCCTCACCCGAGGATATTTTTCCATTTATCTTCAGATAGAGTACAGTACAGCCAGGGGGTGGGTGCGGGGGAGAGACATTAACATCAGTGTGAGAGAGACACATCGATTGGTTGCCTTTTGCATGACCCTGACCAGGGCCAGGGACCGAGCCAAAACTGAGGTACGTGCCCTTGACCGGAATCTAACCCGTAACTCTCTGGTCCAAGGGCAAATGCTCTAACTGCTGAACTAAACCGGCCAGGGCAGTGTAAATTTTTTTTACCTCTAATTTCATTCTGGTGAGAAACAGGCTATAGTATTGTATAGTCCTGAGAATAAGTAGAGAGTTTATTTGGTGTAGTGTTAAAAGATAGTTTGTGAAATACTGGTTCATTAAGTTGTTATAAGGTCCTATGGAACAAAGTTGGAATGTTCTATGAGCAGCTAAATTTGGAGTGTTCTGCCTACATATAATTTTGAGTACTAAAAATTATGAGCCCAGCCGGTATGGCTCAGTGGTTGAACATCGACCCATGTACTAAGAGGTTACTGGTTCAGTTCCCGGTCAGGGCACATGCCCAGGTTGTGGGCCCAATCCCCAGTGAGGCGGCCAATCAGTGTTCTCTCTCATCAATGTTTCTGTGTCTCCTCTTTCTCTAAAATAAATCAATAAAGAAAAATTAAATAAAAATTATGAGGAGTATTGTAGTGAAAAGAAAATTCTAGTTGAATGGATATTGAGGTCAAAGAGTAGCAGTCTAAGGTCACAAATTGACATTGTTATTTTTTTTTTTTCATGTTCTTTCCACTATACTGGCTGCCCAATTTGGTTAATAGTTTAGGAGAAATATTGGATTATAAGACATGTATGTAGTTATAATGTCGATAAAAGGCTATGTAAAATTAAATAATAGGCATTTATATGTGTGTACTGTATTAAATAATAGGCATTTATAGGTAGGCACTGTTGTAAATGCCCTTACAACATATTAATTCATTAGAGCCCTTTGAGGCAGGGTGAAGTTTCCCCTTTTATAGATTAGGATATTGAATAGAAAGAAGTCAGGTAACGTACCTAACATCACTAAGCTGGTATTCATAACTTCTTCATATAAAATATAAATCAAACCACCAAAGAGGATTGGTACCTAAATATTAGAAGACCAGATTCTACAGGTGACTGAAAAATGTTCCCTGCAAATCCACAAGGCAAGGGTATATTAGCCTAGGTTACAATGGTGATGGGCTGCCCTTTCAACCTAATTATTTGCATTGTACAGGTGAAGACAGTAATTATGGTGCCAATGGGAGTTTTTTTTGTTTTCCCCCTTAGAAAATGACAAAAGAGCATTTGGTAGAAGAGAAAACTTCTCTTCAGAAAAGTCTTCTTTACTATGAAAGTCAACATGGAAGGCCGGTAATGTCTCTTGCTTTTTTTTTCATTTTAATTTTTATCTTAAAAGAGGACAAACCACTTTTGTGGCCCACATTTTCAGAGCTGTTTTATAGAGCAGTGTTTCCCCCATTTGGGAGATTACTTACTTATTCAAAGTGACTTTTTAAAAATTGGGGAGAAAGTCATATTGCTTAATGTTTTGATGATTAAGTAATTTCCATTGTTTTTGCTTCAGGTGACCAGGGAAGAAAGGCACGTTGTTAAACCTCTCTATGATAGATACAGACTTGTAAAACAGATGTTGACAAGAGCTAGCATCACTCCTGTCCTCGTAAGTAAAACATACAAATATTTATCTAGTTAATTTTACCAAGACCTACTCTTTAAAAAATTATGGTGGTATATGGGAGAAAGACACAACTATGGTGGCACGAATTGTATATGTAAGGTGAGGTCACGGCTTTAAAAAAGAATAGGAAAGGCAGCTGTAGTGGCTAGTGGTTGAGCATTGACCTATGCACCAGGAGGTTGCTGGATTGATTCCCAGACATGGCACATGCCCTGGTAGTGGGCTGGATTCCCAGTAAGCTGATCAATGTTGATATTTCTCTCTCATCATTGTCTTTCTCGCTCTCTCAAATCAATAAAAACATTTTAAAAAAGAATAGGAAATTAATAAGTGCTTACTATTATCTGCCATTTTCATAAAGCATTTTTATGTGTGATTGTCATTAAATCCTGACAAGTTAAGTCACAACAGGTAACAGAAGATAGCCTCATTTCACAGATGATGAAACTGTGGCTTAGGAGTGATATGCCCAAGGTCACCTACTTTGTAGAAGTAAAAGAAACCTGCATTTCAAACTTTATTTTTATTTATATTTGGTTATTTCTCACCTGCTTTTTTCCATAGATTTTTTTTTTTTTTTTTTTTTTTAGAGAGAGAGTGGAAGGGAGGGAAAAGGGTAGAGAGAGAGAGACACATCGATTGGTTGCCTCCCACATGTGTCCAACTAGGGCAGGTGATCATACCTACAATCCAGGTAGATCCCCTTGACCAAGAATTGAACCTGTGACCCTTTAGCCCGATGGCTGACACTCTAACCAATGAGCAATACCAACCAGGGCCATTTCAAACTTTTGCCTAGTATTTTTTCATTTAAATTCCTATCTTTGAAATTATATTAGTTTTGTGATGTCCATCATGATTATGTTTAATTATTAGCACAATAATATCAACTTTTTTTTTCAATTTCATCTTTTTAAATGAAAAATACCATTAAAATAATGCTTATTCATATTCATGTACAATTTTAGAGAAAAATGAAACTCTAATACTTATGTGTAAATTAAGTGCTACCCCAAATTAACCATTAGATATTATGGCTCTAGAATTCTCTCAGACTCTAGTAGAAAATAACATGTAGCCCATTTTGCATCATCTCATAGGAATTAATTTCCTAGAGTTTATAGTTTGCTTAGGCTTGCAGGACATTTTTATGCTGAAAGCCACTTTCATGGTGATTTCCTTTAGGCTCTCACCACCTGACTACTCATTAGAAGGTTCACATTGGCCTTTTGAGCACATTTTATTTAGCCCTCATATAAACTGATTATTTTTAAATTCTTTGTATTTTTAGAGAGAAAGAGAGAAACATCAGTATGTTGTACCACTTATTTATGCATTCATTGGTTGCTTCTTGTATATGTCCTGACCAGAGATTAAACCTACAACCTTGGCATATTGGGACGATGCTCTAACCAACTGAGCTAACAAGACAAGGCCCTGATTGTTTTTTAATTGGCTGTTTTTATAGTTGGTTACCTCAACACAATACAGATTTTATCCTTTGATTAAAAGATATTTTTGTATGTCACTGGCATTTTAAAAAATTGGTTATTTGTTTTTTTTAAAGAGAGAGGAAGGTAGAAATAGAGAAACATTGATTGGTTGCCTCCTGCACATGCCCCAACCGGGGACTAAACTGAACCCGCCTCCTTCTGGTGAATAAGACGATGCTCCAACCAATTGAGCCACACTGCTGTCACTGATATTTTTATAATTTCATAATAGTATAGTTTTTGAATTTTTTTTTATAAAAACCATTTTAGAATTCCCCGAGTTTGTTTTTATTTTATTTATTGTTAATCCTCACTTGAGGATATTTTTCCATTGATTTTTAGATAGAGTGGGAGAGAGAGAGAGAAACATTGGTGTGCAAGAGACACATAGATTGATTGCCTCAGTCAGGAATCAAACCCCTCCTGACCCTTTGGTTTGAGGGCTGACACTCTAATCACGGAGCCACACTGGCCAAGGCCACAATCTTTTTTTTAAAATTGAGTTTATAGGAAGCATTTCTAGATCTTAAGGACTCCTGAATATGACTGTCAAAGAGAAATTTGCAGTCCAGAAATTAAGCCCAGACAATTCAGTAGGAAGAAATAGTTTTGTTCAACAAATGGTGTTCAGACAACTGGGTATCCACATGCAAAAAAATGATGAATTTAAACTCTTACCTCACACAAAATCTATATTTAAGTGGATTATAGACCTAAATGTAAGGTCTAAAACTCTTAGGAGGGGAAAATCCTTTTTACTTTGAATTAGGCAATGTTTTCTTGGGTATGACACCAAAAGCATAATGACAAAAGAAAAAATAAATTGGACTTCATGAAAATTAAAAACTTTTGTGCATCAAAGGACACTTAAGAAAGAAAAGACATCCCACAAAATGGGAGCAAATCATGTATCTGATTTATATTTTGTATACAGAATATATAAAGAGCTCTTATATTTTAATAACAAAAAGATAAATAAACCATTTTAAAAAGTGGAGCAAAGGGTCTGAATAGACATTTCTCAGAGAAGATATATAAATGGCCATTAAGCACTTGTAAGGATGTTCAACATTATTAGTCATTAGAAATGCAACTAAAAGGCACATTCAGATACTACTTTATACTCACCAGTATAATAAAAATGACAGATAATAACAGTGTTGACAAGGATATGGAGAAATTGTAATGCAACACACTGCTGGTGGGAATATAAAATGCTGCAGCCACTTTGAAAAACAGTTTGGCAGTTTCTCAAAAGCTTAAACATAGACTTACCATATAACCTAGCAATTCTCCTAGGTATATGCCCCAAGAGAATTAAAAACCTATATCTGTACAAAAATTTATACACAAATGCTTATAGTTGTGCATTATTCATTACAGCTGAAATGTAGAAAAAAAAAATTGTTCAGTGACTAATACATAAACAAAAGTAGTGTATCACCCTGACCAGTTGCTCAGTTGGCTGGGTTGTTCAGTTGGCTGGAGCATAGTCCCGTGCACCAAAAGGTTGTCAGTTTGATTTCCACTCGGCACATACCTAGGTTACAGGTTCAATCCCCAATTGGGGCGTATACGGGTGAGGATTAAAAAAAAAAAAAGTATATCATTCCAGTGGAATATTATTCAGCCATAAAAAGGAAGTATATATGCCCTGGCTAGTTTTGCTTAGCGGTTGGAGTGTCAGCCCATGGACCAAAGAGTCATGGGTTCAATTACGGTCAAGAGCACGTACCTCAGTTGCAGTTTGGTCCCCAGCCCTGGTAGGAGTCATGCAACCAATGGATGTCTCTCTTTCACATTAATGTTTCTTTCCCTCCCGGGTGAGGATTTGAAAAAGAAAGGAATAACGTACTACCTTGGCCTATGTGACTCAGTGGTTAGAGTGTTAGACTGCACACTGAAGGGTCTCAGGTTTGATTCCCAGTCAGGGGCACATGCCTGGTTTGCAAGTTCTATACCCAGCCCCTGTCAGGACCCATGCGGAAGGCAAGCAATAAATGTGTCTTCTCTCAGCCCAGCTTGTGTGGCTTGGTTGTTTAGCGTCGACCTATGCATCAAATAGGTTGCTAGTTTGATTTGCGGCCATGGCACATGCCGAGGTTGTGGGCCAAATACCCAGTGGGGGGCATGCAGGAGGCGGCCAATCAATGTTCTCTCTTATTGATGTTTCTATCTCTCTCTCAGTCTCCCTTCCTCTCTCTCTAAAATCAATAAAGAAAAAAAAAAAATTAAAAATAAAATAAATGTTTCTCTCTCACATTGATGTTTCTCTCTCACCCCTTCTCCTCCTCCCTCTCTTTCACTCTCTCTAAAAATCAATGCAGAAAATATCCTCAGGTGAGGATTAACAAAACAGGAATGAAGTACTCATACATGCTACAACATGGATAAACCTTGGAAATAGTTATGCAGAATGAAAGAAGCCAAACCTAAAAGGCCACATATTGTATGATTCTATTATATAAAATATCGAATAGGCTAACCCATAGATATAGAAAGTGGATTAGTGGGCACATGAATAACAGCTGATGAGTATAGGGTTCTTTCTGGGGTGGTGGTAGTGATAAAATGTTCTGAAATTAGATAGTGGTGATGGTTGTACAACTTGTGAGTATATTAAAACTCGCTAAATTGTATATTATAAAAGTGAATTTTGTGGTGTGTGAATTATATCTCGATGAAGTTATTATTTTTTTAATTCTCACCCAAGGACTTTTTTCCTTTTTTTTTGTTCAGATAGAATGGGAGGGAGAGAGAGGAAGAGAGAGAGAAACATCGATGTGAAAGAGACACATCGAGTGGCTGTCACCCGCATGACCAACCAGGGCCAGGGACAAACCACAACCGAGGCACATGCCCTTAGCGGGAACCGAACCCAGGTCTCTCTGGACCACAGGCCGACACTCTAACTGCTGAGCCAAACTGGCCAAGGTTAAAGTTATTATTTTTTAAAAAGGTGTATAAAGTGGTCCTAAGACCAAAATGTTTGACAGCTATTGTTAAAAAGAAAAATGTTTCCAATTAAATTGTCATGCTTTCTTGGGAATTTTAAAATATTTACTGAATGAGCTCTTTTAGAATTATTTAGACAAAATATCATTTATCACTTTTGTGCACCACACAACTAGAAAATACATATAAGCAAAAAAAAATTCCTAATTAAAATTCCTAAATAATTAAAAGCGTAAATAATTAGGGTTTTGAAAATAAAGTTTTATGTCAGTGAAGATTCACTGAACACTTTAAATATTTAAAATGTATACAATTTGCCCTGGTCGGTCTGAATCAGCGGTTAGAGTGCCTGCCTGAGGACTGAAGGATTGTGGGTTCAATTCCCAGTCAAAGGCATGTGCCTGGGTTGCAGGTTTGATCCCTGGCCCTGGTCGGGGGTGTGCAGGGGGCAACCAATTAGTGTGTCTCTCTGACATTGATGTTTCTTCCTCCCCTCTTCCCTCCCTCCTTTCCACTCTCCCTAAAAATCAATGGAAAGATATCCTCGGGTGAGGATTAACAAAGAAGAAAAAATATAAACAACTTGAATGTTGATTGTTACAGGGATCACCATCCACGAAGCGAAGGGGTCAGATGTTACAGCCAATCATAGAAGGAGAAACTGCACATTTTTTTGAAGAAATCAAGGTATTCTTTAAGACAAATTATTCTCTGATCTCTTCTCTAAAGGAAAAGTTGAAAGTCATGGCCTCTTTGATTCTTTGTTTGAATATCTTTTTAGGAGGAAGAAGAGGATGGTGTAAGTCTGTCCTCTGAGTTAACTGATATCTTGCAAACTGCTGTACAGGCACAGTCTTCATTAGAAAACTCAGAATCTGATGTGGAGGAAAATCAAGAAAAACTGGCTCTGGATCTCCGATTGTCAAGTACTCGAGCAGCGTCTATGTATGTTGGCCTGTTAGTATAATACAATGTATGTTGCCCTGGCCAGTGTTGCTCAGTGGTTAGAGCATTGGCCCAAGGGTGCGGGAACAACCAATCTATGTCTCTCTCATGTCCATGCTTTTTTTTCCCCTCTCTCTCTATCTCTTCCTTTCTCTCCTTCTCACCCCACTTCCTACCTCCCTTACACTCTCCCTAAAAATGGGAGAAATATCCTAGGATGAGGATTAGCCTAAAAAAATAAAACCCAATTTATATGCCAAGAAATTCAATGTTAAGTAATCAAGGACTTGGAGGGAATTAATCCAGTGCACAAGAGATACATGCTTTTTAAAAATATATGATTTATAAATACATGTCCAATTTACATTAAAAAAAAATTTTTTTTAAAGGGAGAGAAAGATCAATCAGCTACCTCCTGCATGCACCCTACTGGGGATCGAGCCAGAACCCCAGGCATGTGCCTGATCAGGAATCAAACCGGGACTTCTCAGTCCATGGGACGACGGTCAGTCCACTGAGCCAAATCAGCAGGGCCATTTCACATATTTTAAATTAAATATTAGTGTGTTTTGAAAAATTTAAAAACTTAAATTCTACATTTGCTGCATAACTATAAGAACCAACTGAGAGTTATCTGTTAAGTTCTCTGTCAGCTTCTTTACATGATAAGGTGTCTGACTGGTTCTCAGCCCTGTCTTCACTTTAAGATCACCTGGGAAAATCTTTTTTTTTTTTTTTTTCCATCCTCACCTGAGGATATTTCTTTATTTTTTGTTCAGACAGAGTGAGAGGGAGAGAGGGAGGAAGAGATAGAGAGAAACATCGATGTGAGAGAGACACATCTACTGGTTGCTGCCCGCACGACCCAACCAGGGCCGGGAACAAACTGCAACCGAAGTATGTGCCCTTAGCAGGAACCGAACCCAGGTCTCTTGACCGCAGGCTGATGCTCCAACTGCTGACTGCTGAGCCAAACCAGCCAGGGCGGAAGTGTTTTTTTTTTTATAAGTATTGCTGCAGAGCCCTACCAGCAGCTATTCTGATTTAGTTGGGCTGGGGTGGAACCAGGGTTTAAGAACGTAATGAATCGCCCAGCTGGTGTGTCTCAGTGGTTGAGTGTCGACCCATGCACTAAGAGATCACCGGTTTGATTCCTGATCAGGGCACATGTCCAGGTTGTGGGCCCAACCCCCAGTGGGGGACATGTTCTCTCTCATCATTGTTTCTACCTTTACCTCTCCCTTCCTCTCTCTCTAAAAATCAATAAAGAAAAAAAATTTTTTTTTATAAACATAATGAATCAACAGTGCCCTTTCAATAATGTTTTTATTCTATTTTATTTTAGGCCTGAATTACTGGAACAACTTTGGAAAGCCAGAGCTGAAAAAAAGAAACTACGTAAAACATTACGGGAATTTGAAGAAGCATTTTATCAACAAAATGGAAGGTTTGTTGAACATCACAAAATTGAGTCCTCTTTCACTCACAAGTGCTCATATGTTAAGTATACAGGATCTGAAATAAATAGTGCATATAAGGATATTAGCATTGAAAATAAAAGTAAAAAAAACTATTTTTAAATATGTTTAAGCCCTGCTATTGATGGCAAGAAAAAGAGCTGGAATAAACATCATCTGATAAAATATTCCAAGGTTGTCCTAAGGAAGCTTGGTTGAGTGGCAACTATTTTGTTTTTTTATACTACGCCCTCACCCTTTTGGATTTGTTTGTGAAATGAGGTGTTTCTCCTTTTAGAAAGGGTCTCATAATATGAGTGACATCTTTATTTAGTTTGGATTCTTATATACTGAGACCATTGTTGCCTAGGCCTCATGATGTTCATTCTAGGCTGCCCATTTCCAAGGTGTGTAACAGGGTGGCAGTCATGTAAGTCCTATAATGCAATATGACAAGTTACCTATAACTATATAATGTGCAGTTGACCCAGTGAGACTCTTTTTAAAGAAAAATACATTCTCATTCAAATGGTAGCCAGAAATGAGGGCTATCTCAGGTTTCAGAAAAGTTTTTACATTTTTTTTTTTTTTTCCTCACCCGAGGATATTCTTCCATTCTTTGTACAGATAGAGTGGGAGGGAGAGAGAGGAAGTGAGAGAGAGAGAGAAACATTGATGTGAAGGGACACATCGAGTGGCTGCCACCCGCACGACCAACCAGGGCCGGGGACAAACCGCAACCGAAGTATGTGCCCTTAGCGGGAACCGAACCCGGGTCTCTCCGGACCGCAGGCTGACGCTCTAACCGCTGAGCCAAACTGGCCAGGGCAAAAGTTTTTACATTTGATTGGGTAGTCTTACCAACCAATAACTATATTGCAAATTTTGTTGTTGTTGTTTTTTTATTCCTCACCCGAGTATTTCTATTTATCATTAGATAGAGTGGGAGGGAGGGAGGGAGGGAGGGAGGGAGGGAGAGAGAAGCATTGATGTGATAGAGCCACATCAACTGGTTGCCTCCCACACGACCCGACCAGGGCCAGGGACAAACCGAAACTGAGGTACGTGCCCTTGACCCAAATTGAACCTACGACTTATTGGTCCACAGGCCGACACTGAGCCAAACTGGCCAGGGCACAAATTCTGTCCCCCCTTCACCCCCCTATAATTTTGGCTTCTCTATTGATCACAGGTCATATATTTGGCTTAAAAAACAACAGCAGCAGCAGCCCTGGCTGGTTTGGCTCAGCAGTTGGAGCATCGGCCTACGGACCAGAAAGTCCTGTGTTTGGTTCCCGCTAGGGGCGTGTACCAAAAAAACAACAACAACAAACACATGATCAAGAGTCACTAATTAAAGGAAAACTAAACTTCTTTCAGACTGCTAAATGCTCCTAGAAAGCTGACCTGTATTACAAATTCTAAAATGTGTTTACTTTAAATAATTTGAGAGTTCTCTATATAGGTTAGCAAAAATGGTTTTAAAAAATCTCAAGTACAAGAGTGAATTTTCCAAGTATCTTCTAATTCTTTGTCTTATTGGAAGAAAACTTTGCTTATAATTATACCTTGGATGGTTTGATGCATTACCTAGTAATTAAACTGGATTGCATTGGGTCATTAATAATATAAAGTTAGGGAACTACTTATTTGCTACTATAGCTAAGATATTTTACTTTTACAGTCTCAAGTCACTGAAGCCAGAGTTAATGTATGAAGTGACTCATTGTAGTCCTCTGGCACTTAATATATATATATACACTTACAGACCTGACAGAGTCTAGCAACAATGTATGCCTTATTAAAATATTACCTCTAAAATAATAAAACAAAATATTACCTTTAGTTATCTACAATGATCATTGAAAGAATAGTATCATTTAATCTGTCAATAGAAAAATCCATCAAAAATAGAATCATTTCAGGAATGTTCCTTGGGGATTGGGGTAATCAGTCCAATAATATTTTTTTCTTACAGAGCAATTTTTATTTGAATTTATATTTGGTAACATTGTCTCACATTAGGACAACTTCTGGGACTTTATTTTCCAGATGATCTCTAGATTACTACACGTTTTATTTTCTCCCCTAGGAATGCCCAGAAAGAGGATCGTGTTCCAGTGCTTGAGGAATATAGGGAGTACAAGAAAATTAAAGCCAAGCTTAGGCTTCTTGAAGTTCTTATCAGCAAACAGGATTCTTCAAAATCCATATAAAATATGCTCCTTTGAAAACATCATAAAATCAGTTGTATTCCCTGAAGCTAATCATCGTGTGTACTTGGCTGGTACTTGAGTTCATTTTATCAGGCACTCAGAGTCTCATTTTGTAACTTGGTTGTGGTGCCACTAGAGAAATGATGGGGGGGTAAGTAGACCCTCTTTAGGGAGCACAATGTTCCATATTAACCACAGACTGTCCTCTCCACCTTTAACAAACATCCAGTTTTCTTCATTGTTTTGTACTACAGATACATCCTGTTAGCAAAAGACTAGTATTTTATCCTTTCAACCTCAAGAACTTTGGAAGTACAAGCTTTTTGTTATTACCAACTTTATTATTTTTCATTACTGAAGAAAATTAAGAGGAAAATCTTCATATTGAATTCTTCAGTTGCCTTTTTCTTACAGAATGACTGAAAATTTGAAAGAAAAGCCTATAAATGTGCACATGTGCAACTGTTCTATGTTTTCTTAGAAAACCAAAATCAGCTGAAATTTCAAGTCCTACTGTGGAACACATTTCTGTTTAATTTCCAAAGTAACACTTTTTCACAGGTAGTATGTTAGCAAAGTTTTGCAATTCAGTGGTCACACAACTACTGGATCAAGATGACAGAGAGTAGACCAAAAAGTGACCTTGCCTATTAGTATAGTGAAAACACACATCACATAACACACAGAACTGAATCATACCACATGCTGCCTATGGGACTTAAGTTACTGTTTGTTTTCTCAGCTACTATTTATCTGCTGGTGATGGTGTGATTTGTCTGGATCAAGTCCTCCATTTTTTCTCCCTACCCACCTCCAGATAATGTGAGAAAAGAGCCATGTCAGTATGTAGGAGCTCTGATGGTACTCAGATTTGTGTGTTGAATCAAATGGGCCTAAATTGGCAAAAGAATTATTTTGCCTGAAGTAGATCTGTTCTTAACAAGGGCTATACCACTGCATTTTAACATGTACATTCAGGGGGTTGCATCTTTTTTTTTTTTATCTTAATCAGCAAAATCAATAAATAAAACATCTTTTAAAGGGACCACCTTTTGCTTAGTAACATGCTGTTTAAAGTGCTGGTCACAAGATGTGTAGTGGTATGCCCCTTGTCATATACTTTAAGCATCTTTTTTTCTTTGGCTTTGCATGACTTTTCTTCAGGTACTCATGTGGTATCATTCTGCTACTCATTTTCACAGAATGGTGATTTTATTTGTGCTAACAATATGACAGTCATTAATAGCATATTCTGGTCAGGCTCGATCTAAGTGTTCATTTTTTTCCTGGTGCTTTTTTGGAATGATGAGTGTCTCACTTTGAGTGTGCCCATGTTTTGCATGCAGTGACTCATGCATGGTTTTCTTAACTAGCTAATATTTACAATTTATTCCATACAAAAATGGACTTTTGCAACATCCTTTAATAAGATGAGGGAAGCATGAACCTCAGACTTCTGGCACTATTACATAGTAGGCACAAGAAATAGCTTGATAATATGTAGTATTTCTAGTACTTCACATTTCACCTGTGTGTGCAATGCCTTTTTTGCAGGGAGGGAATATTCATTGGTAGTGAACATACAGTTAAGGAATAAAGCACTAAATCTAGCCCTTTTCATGTCATTTCCTTTTGATAAACTAGGTTATTCATAATGTATACCTAGAAAAAAAATCAAAATGCCAAAAGATCACTTTGATTTGAATCCATCATGCAGTGTGCATTTAGTTACTATATCAGTCTCCAGACAGAAGTATATCCAAACATCTGATTTAATGTGCACTGTATATTGTTTTATATGAATGTTTTATTATACCACATGCAAAAATGTCCATGTGCACTATTTAAATGTTTTAAATAATATATTCCTTCTTTATAATGCTAAATCTATATGAGTACCATATTTTTATAAGTCAGTGGCCTGACTGGTTTCATTTTAAAATTAACAGCTGCTTCATGATGTTGGTTATTCACTGTTAATGTTTGGCTGCAAATAGAATAGATAAAAGTGGCATGGCGGCACTTAAGCTGTGTGACAGTATTGTGTGTCATAGTTGAGCAGTAAGTGGTAGAATTAGGCAGTTTGTGATAGTTTTACTTTGGTACAAGTAAAAACTATATCTATATACAAACAATATATAGATATATATGACCACCAATATAATTGCATTGCTCTGTCTGGCACTTCATTGTATAGACTTTTGTAATAAAAGAACTTTAATGTTCTAAGACATTGTAAATGTTGTTTGCTTTCCCCCCACCTCACTAGATGTTGAAAAAGGAAAAAGAGACCTCAAGAATTCCCTTGTTTTAATATTCTCAGGCTTTGTTTGAATTACCCCAACCTGGGATCATTATTGGGGGACAACAAAGTTAGTAAACCACCTGGTTGGCTACAGCTCTGCAGAATGGTGAGACAGGGACAGGCCATGTTGTTGATTCCCTTGTGGTAATGTAGGGAGAAGATGCAGAGAGAATAGTTAGCATTTCTTGTTGCAGTGAATTATCCTATTAAGAAAACTTGATGTAGAGTCTCTAAAAGAGGAGCTTAGCCTGAGGAAGGTGGATAGATTTAAAACTTCCTTTTTTCAAATTTTAAAATCCAAGGACTATTGAGCAGTAATGTGGAAGTACTATGTTCAAATGCTGTTGGTTGGGCTAAGAGAACAAAAATTTCTTCTAGGAGGGCTTATGTAACCTATAAAAACTAGAAGAGTTTTCTTGTAGTTTTCAAAATGTAAGTCATACATAAACAGGGCTTTTACAGTTATACTTTTCAAATATGACTTGATTTTTTATAACCCTGATACTCTTACCTTGCTCTTTATTTTTTTAAGTGTATTGTGCTTTTAAAGTGCTTGAGGATGCACTTTTGGGAAACTTTAGTTGTTACTTTATAAACCAACTAGATGAATTTCCTTTTTGAAGGTATTAGTACAATTTCTGTAGATGGTTGGAAAGTTTGTTCTTTAACACTTTGGCTTTTTATAAGAGACTTTGAATTAGGAAGAATGGAGATGAGATTATTTTACTTGAGCCATTGTATGGCTTTGCAGAGTCCTATCCATTATCTGGTTAGAGGAAGTTGGAACATGGTACATGATAAGAGCACTTGTACTCTGGATCATTGAGAAAACTGTCTTTACGGATTTACTGAACTATTGCTTAGAGACCTGCATCATGAACTATGAGCAGCATTGTTTTGTACTTTGCCTTCACATTCCTAGAATTTATAATAATTTATTGTAAAATCCTCTGTGTGAACCAGTGTGTATATACTTTGGAGGCATGTTGTAATATACATGGATTGTACAGTGGGTCCCATTCAGGGGCACTTAACTCCTGGAAATAATTTGATGATAATCATTGACTCTGGCAATAGTTTGATGATAGGTCGTTTAGTGCTTTTAATGTATATTGGAAATGAGACAAGTTTAGGAAATAATTCAATACAGGAATGAATGAATGTTAGAAATGTACAATGACTGCATCACAGATTCTCACCTCTATTTGACTCAGTAGGGTAGAGCTGAAACTTCTCTCATCACTCGGTTTAGTTTTAAACTAATATAGTGTAATTCTTTCTCCAGCTCCACAGCATATAAAAAGAGGCTACAGGATAATTTAGAAAGAAGTAGAGAATGAGTCAGTAACACACTTGTTCATAAAGAGACAGCAAATTATTAGTGCCTATTGTGAAATGCTTTGAATGGAGAGGGAGTATTTAAGCTCCTAAAACATGCCTAGTATGGTCAGTTATGGATGTAATATTTTAAAGCTGTGGAGAATTGCCCAGCTGTTGTGAGTCAGTGGATTGAGCGCCCTCTCATGGACTGAGAGGGCTCAGTTCGATTCCTGGTCAGGGCACATGCCTGGGTTGTGGGCTCGATCCCCAGTAGGGGGTGTGCAGGAGGCAGCTGATCGACGTTTCTCTCTCACATCAATGTTTTTCTCTCTCTCTTCTTCCTCTCTAGAAAATGAATAAAAACACATTTAAAAAAATAAATTATAAAAAATAAAGTAGTGGAGAATAGTATCTGCTACACATATCAAGTATATATGGCAGTTCATATTTAGAGAGGTGAGGATAAAAGCAATTGGTCTCACTCTTACATGTAAACAAATGAAGCCTTGTGCTTTCTGTTTAACTTTAAAGTTGAGTAAAAGAAATTGAAAAAAACAAACAAACATCGTAGCAGAATAGATTTTGGATTCAGGAAAATAATGTGTGTAACTCATGTCCGCGATCCCCATGTCATGATAATCCCATGATTATCATGTAAGTAACAAATACTTACTCTCGAAATTCTTGTTGAGTGACAGGCTGGTAATCATCTTGAATTTCTGTAGAATAATACTTTTTCTCAAGTCTCTCTTTCCATTTTTTCATCTGCTCTGCACTTTGAATTTCCTGTCAAGTTAGAGAAAAGCCTAGGCTGCAATTTTTAAATTTTTTCTCTATTTCAGGTCTTTGTCATACAGACATTACAGGGTTGAGGTTTTGAGCCCCACTAGCTTTTTGCCTTGCCATTTTTTAATTGTATGCATTAGCAGAGTCATGTCAGAGGTCCTGGTGTTAAAACTGTTGGCAGAGTTGGGGAATTTTAAAATGATAATTATCAGCTTATTCTCATTTCATTGCCTCTTCCCCTCTGCATCTCCATCTCAGTTTTTTTCATGATTTTCTTCATTCTTCTCTTGGCCAAAGCTGATATATTTTGGTACTTCTATTCTTTAATATAGCAAATGTACTTCAAAGTACATCTGTGGATATTCTTTACCTGCCCAGCTGCTTCTCAGCCAGACTTCTGCAAGTCTTACCTAACCATCCCAATCCTCTCTTTATAATTACTGCATCAGTCTGTGCACTTCAGTCTGTCAACATACCCCCAAATTGGCTCCTCTTACTGGAAAATTATTGTTGCTACATCTTTCTCTGATTCTAAAGAGTCCTTCCTATGCTTTGTCCTCACTACTACCCACTTTCCTTTTATTAGAAAAAAAAATTTTTTTTTCTTTATTAATTTTAGGGAGAGGGAGAGAGAGATAGAAACATTGATGAGTGAGAACATCGATTGGCCACCTCCTGCATGCCCCCCACTGGGGATTGGGCCCACAACCTGGGCATGTGCCCTGACCGGGAATCGAACTGGCAGCCTCTTGGTGCATGGGTTGATGCTCAACTACTGAGCCACACCTGCCGGGCTACCCACTCTCCTTTTAGTATGCAAATACCTTTTTCCCAACTTTAGAAAAACTGCCTTGTACCTTGTGGAAAATAAGGACAGCTCTAGAAAAAGAAGGAAAGAGGAAAGTGCATCCAGATGTGATTCAAATACTTCTCAGTGAATAAGTATGATACTGCCCTGCTCCAGCAGTGATGCTAAGTTGCAAAGTGGATCCCTGTGAAAGGACTCTTCTGATTACCTTCCTCAGACAGGATGGCGATGCCTAAGTTATACACTGTTTACCTGATAGTTGTGTGCTGTTCCGGTCAGATAAACTATTTTATCAGATAGTGTTTGTCTTAAACCAACAATATTTGAAGAAGGAAAGGATTGCTTTTAATCTTTCTAGTTTTATCTTGGCCACTTCTCAGCACGTTTTGACATAGAATATAATGCTTTTAATGTATTGTTTAAAAAGTGGTAGGCCCCACAATTATTTCTAAATGACCGAGCCTATTATAATGTGGAAATATTAGTTATATGGGTTGAATTGACTGCCTGATAAACTTGACCCATCTTTCAAAAAACCCATCTCAACCGTGACTTTTTCTGTGAAGCCTTCCTTGACATTCATAGGAAAATCATAGGCATTTCATTCAAGATCCTAGGTTCTAGTCCCACCTCTCTTTCCTGTAGGTGGTAGCTGCCATTTACAGTTGTTTCTGGATTAATTTAGTATTCCACATAGGTTCTATAGTCCTCTACTACTTCAGAAATGAATTCTCTGTAGTAAACCTCCTCCTTGTGAACTACCTAATGTGTTTCTTTTTCTGATGGACCCTAACTGATGAGTACTTGGTAGCAGGGGAGGTCCAAAGGAACAAACTCATAAATAGAATGCTTCCACCAATGGACACAACAATTGACTTAAGAATTTGACACTACCACCTGGCCGTTTGGGATCCCTCAGGCTACTGAACCAGCAGGCAAAAATTCAACTGGCTGAGGTGATTGATCCTGATTATCATGGGAAATCAGTTGCAGCTATAAATTGAGTGCAGAGAGGGCTATATTTGGAGCCTGGGAATTCTTGGGTGGAGGGGTGCTCTTAATACTTTCATGTCCTAAAATAAGCTTTGTAGTTTAAACATCAAATTCTTAAGGAGTTTTTATTTGAGTAGAAAAGGCCTTAAAGTTGCCCAGAAGATGGATACAATTACTAATGGGACTTTTGCTTCTCATTTTTTGGGGAGAGGATAAGAGTACCTTCATTTGTATAAAGTATAGTTTCCATCCTATTAGATGGAAGCTTGAAATAATTATTGTCTTTTTATGGAAGTTCAAATGTGTGTACTAAATAGCCAGAAAGGTGAACTGGGCCAACTATTTAGCTCATGTCTCTTCAACTCAAAATTTACCCTCTTGTACTGTGATGTTGGGTCTCAGGCTTTGAAAACTCTTTCCTCGGACTTGCTGCTGGGTTTGTTAGATTCTGCCTTATTGGAGAATGGAGGGAGTAGGGTCTTGTTTCTTTTTGTCAGCATTGCTTCTGCAAATGAAAGTTCATCCCCAGCAACAATGGTTGGCTCCAGGCTGCAGTGGTCCAGCATTTTTTGGCATACCCAGAACCAAACTCATCACATTCCCTCAGAAGTCTCCATAGCAGCAGGGGTGGGCTGGGGAGTGTCCTCAGAGATCTGAGCAACAGCTCTATAGAGCTCTTCTCTATGATAGTAGCTTCTGATCACCCTACCTTTTGTACCTTAGACCTGGAGTGGTAGCATCATCCTACAGTGATTACTTACAAGTTGCCTCAGTGTTTTTACTTTTTTGTCTTCTAATACTTATATAAAAAAATTCCCTATAGTAAATTTTTTCTGTTTGAAATACATAATGGATTTCCATTTTCCTGACTAGGTCCTGACTGATATGTGTACATTTTCATTTGATCAAGTGAATTTTTGTGTTTTAGGAATGTTTCAAATGTTTCCTTATCTTGGTTTTAAACATTTTTTAAAATAATTCCTGGATATTTTCTACATTGTTGCTTTTGTAAATAGAATCTTCTATTAAATTTTTCCCT